CCAGAGGGGCAGAGTGGCCCCGGGGGGCTCACCGCGGTGGCTCTTGTGAAACACCCTGGACAGGGAGGGCCGGGCAGGCGCTGGTGCAACCCAAACCCACAGGATGGTTACTCCATCCGCCGCCCCGCCTGCCCTGGAGGGTGGGAGCTCCCCGGAGCTTGGACAGCCGCTGAGGACCCCAGAGGGAGCAGTCAGGATCAGGAGCCCCTCGCCCTCCCCTCTGCCCAGCCCCGTGGGGATGACCCGCTGAGCCTTCGTGGGAGCAGGGCCGCGCCCAGGCCGACGCAGGTCAGTGCTGCAGAGGCTGGACCCGGGCACACGTGCAGGGCTCCTGGCTCCGGCCCGACAGCCCTCACCTGCTGTCGGCCGGCCGGCGGCCTTTCTGGCCCCGCTCTGCTCTGGCGCGGGCCCCCTGGGGCTGTGCTGGCTGGCGGCCTGGGGAGTGCCAGGCGGTGAGGGAGCAAGGGAAGTGCTGAGTCAGCATGACTCGCCAGGAACAGCCGCTCTGGGGTGCCCACGGGTTATTTTTAAAGCTCTGGGCTTCCTTCTAGCCGGCCCCTCGACCCTCGGATCTCTCCCCGGCCCGTTCCTCGCCTCTGCCCCCCTCCCTGCCCTTCAGTCCCCCTTCCCTCTGGGCCCTCCTGGCCCCCTCTGGCTTCCTAGGGGCAGGCAGACAGGGAGCAGCCCTGCTCAGGGCCAAACGTTGATCTTCGGGGCCAGGTACTGGGGACTGGGCAGGTGGGGGCAAGGATGGGGTGCCCAGGGTCCTGACCTCTGCCCCCTGTCCCACAGAGTGCCTGCTCGCTGCGCCCCCGGGTTATGACGACCCCCAATAAAGGAAGCAAGGCCTTGAAGGTAAGCGGGCAGGCGGGCGCGTCCCGAGCCGGGGTGGCGCCGGGCCGGTGCTGCCGGGCCCTGACCTTGCGCTGTGCCCCAGGTGAAGCGGGAGCCTGGCGAGAATGGCACCAGCCTGACGGACGAGGAGCTGGTGACCATGTCGGTGCGGGAACTGAACCAGCACCTGCGGGGCCTGTCCAAGGAGGAGATCGTGCAGCTGAAGCAGCGGCGGCGCACACTCAAGAACCGCGGCTACGCCGCCAGCTGCCGCGTGAAGCGGGTGACGCAGAAGGAGGAGCTGGAGAAGCAGAAGGCGGAGCTGCAGCAGGAGGTGGAGAAGCTGGCCTCGGAGAACGCCAGCATGAAGCTGGAGCTCGACGCCCTGCGCTCCAAGTACGAGGCCCTGCAGACCTTCGCCAGGACCGTGGCCCGCGGTCCCGTGGCGCCCGCCCGGGGCCCCCTGGCCGCCAGCCTGGGGCCCCTCGTCCCCGGCAAAGTGGCCGCCACCAGCGTCATCACAATAGTCAAGTCCAAGACGGACGCCCGGTCGTAGGGACGCACGCTGGCCCCGGCGGGTCTGGGAGGGGCCGTGAGGCACGCGGCACACAAGCAGCCCTGTCCCCCTCCCCCCTCCCCGTCCTACCTCCTCCCTCCCCTGCGAAGCACAACCCGCACCCGGTGGGGCACCAGCCGAGCCCCTGGGTCTCGTGTTGTCAGCGTGTGTCTGTGTGTTGGGATTGGTCAGTTCAGCGGTGCTGTGGGGTGGCCCCTGCCCCTCTGTACCAAGGCCAAGGGGGTGAACTCGGAGGCGGCCCTCTGGGAGCAGAGAGCGAGCGAGCTGTGGGGCTCGGCGTCCCTGTGCAGGCAGGGCTCCAGGGCAGGAGGCTGCTCTGCCTCCAGTGGCCCGGGCCCTGAGGCTGTGGGCCGGCGGGGGGCTGGGCAGTGCCCTCAGACGGACGCTGCTCCTCGGAGCGGGGTGTCCTGGGGGCCCCAGCCCGGGAGCCGGGCACGGGGCGCCGTGAGGCTGTGGGCCAGGGGCCTGGGCGTGCTCGCCTGACGCCTTGCACTGAACAAGACCAAATCACTGGCCGTGAGCGTGCGTGAGGTGTGTCCCGTGTCCCGCGATGGTCCGTGTCGCTGTTTACATGACCTGTCGGTGTGGTTACCCAGCCCTTTATTTAAGAGAGAGAAGTTCCTTTTACGAAGTTATTAAATTATATGTTTAAAAGCTAAAGGAAAGAAGAGAGCTGCAGAGTATTTATAAAACTGTCTTTTTACAAAAAAAAAAAAAGAAAAAAGCAAGAACATTGGACCCTATAAATGGAAAAGGGAAGAAAGTATAATAGAAACTTGGCTAGTTTAAAAAAAGATTAAAAAAAAAAAAAAAGCCCTTTCTTGTAAACTTACAGACAAGTCTTTGTGGCTGTTGGAGTTTAGTTTTTATATACACAGAGTTATCAGATGTTATTTATAAAACTTAGTTTAAAAAAGAAAAAAGAAAAAAAAAAAAAAACAAGCCGCGAGCGACCATAGGCGCGTCCCGACGTCCTCCTTGCTGACTTGCAGTTGTACCGAAAGTGACTTATCCCCGCGCCCTCCGCTTCCGGCCGCGTCCTCCGTGCCTGGTGAGGTCTTGTGCAGCGTCTGTGCTGGTGCTCCTGGTGACCTTTGACCTGTGGGTGTCACTTGTGTCTGTTTTCCTGTATTTGTTTTGGATTTGGTTGTGTTTTGCTCTGGCTTGCTGGGCAGGGGCTGGGGTGCCGGGTGCCGGGCTGGGACCCGCTTCAGCAGTTTGGGGGGGTCTCTGCCCACCAGCCCAGCCTCTCCAGCTTCCCCGCCTGCCCCCTGGCTTCCAGGAGGTCCCAGCCCTGCTGTCCTCGGCTTCGCATGTGTGTCAGGTTTGGGCAGGTGAGATGGGAGTTATTCTGGCGCCCCCCCCCCCCCCCCCGGCTGCTCCCGGGCCCCCGCCTCTGGCCCTGGGTGGGGCTTTGCAGATCACGCTGCTGCCCCGCCATCTTCCTCCTGGTGTCCAGTCAGCCGCCTCAGCTGGGGCCACTTAGGGGCCCCCTTTTCCCAGAACCGTCTGTGCTGCGGGGCGGTGCTTCCAGGCAGAACCAGGTGGTTTTGGGGGCCCACCTGGGTGGCTCCTCCTGCCTGCCCGAGGGCCTGGGGGTCCCCACCTGTGTCAGACAAGGGCTAGTCTCCCGGGCCAGGGCCTGTCCTCCCCCCGAACACGCTGGCAGCTCGGCCTCGGGCCTTCTTCCGCCTCCTTTGGGGCCTGTGTCTTCCAGGGATCCGACGCTCGGCCGTGGAGGTGCTTCTCGGGCTGAGCCGCCTCCCCGTCCGGGCCACGCGGCCGAGGCAGCCAGTCTCCGGATTCGGGGAGGAGAGCTCGTGGGCTCCCGCGGGGCTGTCTGTGGTGTCTGCCCCCGAGGCCCGGGCCGTCTCTGTGGGCCTCGGCCTGTTCCCGGGGGTGCTGGCTGGCTGCCCTGGGCCCTGGATCCCGAAAGAGCAGGGCAGTGCGGCCTGATGGGCGTGCCAGCGGCTTCTGTCCTCCCGCAGCTGCTCCGAGGCCGTCCTGGTGGTGCCTCTCAGCCTGCCCTGGAGATGCTGACCGTTGGCTCCGGCCGCTTACGGCCTCCTCTCCAGGCTGCCTGTCGGGTAGGGTCCAGGCGACAGTCCCTAGAGAGAGGTGCTGCCGCCCTGGGGTGGGACAGCATCCACGTGACGGACAGCTCCCCCTGCCCTGGCCGGGAGCGGGTGTCTGTCTGCGCCCCAGAGGTGGTGAGGAAGGTGAGGAGGGTGAGAGTGGGTGGTGCTGAGCAGAAACGGCAGGTCGTGGGTTTGGTCTGCAGAAGCTTCTGGAGTTGGTGAGGCCGTGTCCCTGGCAGGGTTTTGGGTTGGAAGCAGCTGCCCTCCGGTCTGGGGGAGCATCCAGTTCTCGTCATGCCAGCCCTGCAGGGGCCCCTCCACTCTCCTCCCCCTTGGCTCTTTCCCAGTAATTCTGTGTCCACCTGTGACTGGTGTGTCTGATCCCTGTTACTTATTCTTCCCCCGTGACTGTGCTGTGTTCCCCCCTCTCCTGACACAGTGAATCGAGGGCTTTGGCCAGAGCCAAGAATCCCAATCGTGTCCACTAAGTAAACCATGCTGTGCCCCTCCCCTCCCCGACTCCGCCCGCACCCCAACATGGACGCTCAGATTTCAGAGCAGAACCTGTGGGCTCGGGTCAGCTCCCGCCCAGGCCCAGCTGCTGCTCCAGCTGGCACTGCCCTTGGTACAGGTGGGAAGACACGGCTGCTCCGTGTGGCAGCCACGAGGGGTGCTGGTTCCTGATGGGGTCGGTGCCCAGCCTGCGGCTCAGGCTGCTGGGGCTCCAGGACGGGTCCAGCCCATCTGGTCTCCAGCTCCGAGTTGGCTTGTTGGCCAGAGCTCCCTCCACAGCGGGGCAGCCTGAACCACAGCCTCCAGCACCATTTCCGCCCTGGGATCTTGTAAGTTACTTTTTTGGGCTGTGGTTTAGTGAAAGGAACCAACACATTAACGATTTTTCCCCCTCAGAAGCCACGGAATAATTCTTTTTGGCGCGTTTTTGCCTTCCTGTTGGCTGACTGGTTTGGGAACAGATGGGGAGACGGGTGCGCCCGTGGGACAGGGCCTGGCCCGTGTCCTGGGCATGTGCTGTCCCTGTCGGCCGGGCACACGGCGGCGCCGCCCTGGAGCAGCAGCCTCGGCACGGGGGTGCCCCCGGAGCTGAGCAGCCCGGCCCCCCCTCCCCACCCCTGCTCTGCAAGCCCCGCAAGCCTTTAACCAAACGGAGCCAAACGGAGCGGGTGCAGAGCCCCTCCCGGACCGGAGGGCCCCAGGACAAGGGCTGCCCGGCGGGCCCCGGAGGGGGTGCAGGGCCCGGCCGCGCCCGCGCAGTATTTATTGTAAGTTATTGTCCGGGGCGCGGGCCGGGCGCAGGTATTTATTGCTGTACAGTGTATGTGACACACGAGTTCCCTTTATTTTGTATATGAACAATAAACGCCTTTTAAAGAGCCGCAGGTGCTTCCTTGGGGGCTGCGGGCGGGCGGGGGGCGGGGCGGAAGGGCGGGTCTCGCGCATGCGGCGCGCAGGGCCTGCCGGGAGGCGGAAGCGGAAGCGCGCGTCCCGGAGCGATGGCAGCCGGGGGTCCGAGCCGCTCGGAACGCAAAGCAGCGGAGCGGGTGCGGCGGCTGCGGGAGGAGCAGCAACGGGAGCGCCTCCGCCAGGTCCGCGCCCCCGCGCCCCGCGCCCTCATCGCCGCCCCGCGCCCGCCCCGCCCGCCCCGCGCCCCCGCACCTCCGCGCCCCGCGCCCTCACCGCCCCCCGCGCCCGCACCGCCCCGCGCCCCGCGCCCGCACCGCCCCCCGCGCCCTCACCGCCCCGCGCCCGCACCGCCCCCCGCGCCCTCACCGCCCCCCGCGCCCGCACCGCCCCGCGCCCTCACCGCCCCCCGCCCCGCGCCCGCACCGCCCGCCCCGCGCCCGCACCGCCCCCCGCGCCCTCACCGCCCCGCGCCCGCACCGCCCCCCGCGCCCTCACCGCCCCGCGCCCGCACCGCCCCCCGCGCCCTCACCGCCCCGCGCCCGCACCGCCCCCCGCGCCCTCACCGCCCCGCGCCCGCAGGTGTCGCGCATCCTGAGGAAGGAGGCGGCCGAGCGCAGCGCGGAGGAGGGCCGGCTGCTGGCCGAGAGCGAGGACCTGGTGACCGAGCTGCAGGGCCGGAGCCGGCGGCGCGAAGGCCTGAAGCGGCGGCAGGAGGAGGCGAGTCCGCGGCGCCCCGCCCGCCCCGCCGGCCGGCTCCTCGGGGGATGGATGGGGCGGCGGGCGGCGGGGGCTGACCGCCCGCCTGGGTCCCGGCAGGTGTGCGACGACCCCGAGGAGCTGCGGAGGAAGGTGCGGGAGCTGGCCGGCGCGGTGCGCGGCGCCCGGCACCTGGTGGTCTACACGGGCGCGGGCATCAGCACGGTAGGCGCGAGGCCCCGGAAGCTGGCGCGGCCGGGGCGCCCCCTTTGGGGCGCTGGCCCACGGACCGGGCACAGGACTCCAGTTCGCCAAAGATTCTCTCTGAAAGCGGCGCTGAGGTCCTTTTGTCTAGAGAAGCTCAAAGGGCTGCGGTTGGGACTTCCCTCGTAGGTGAACACGTTCACAGGCTCGAAGCCTGTTATGCCCAGTTAGAGACAAGGGAGGGACGTAAGAGCGGACGGAACGGCTTTAGGCCCGGCGGGCACCTCATTTAAAGGTGAGGAGGTCAGGGCGCTGACCCCAGGGCCTGAGGGAGTGCTAAGCCCACATCTGTGTCCTGGCCCCCCACTCGCCCGCCTTCTGAGTGTCAGGGAGGCGAGTGCAAAGCAAGGCAGGGCGAATCGGGGTGCGCCAGGTGAGGCCGGGGGCCGCTGGGTTTTGAGAAGTTCTATGGGAAGCTGCCCTGGGCTGGGGAAGAGGCATGACTAGCTTTGACAGGGAGGGGGGCCCATGTTTGCCTAACTGAGGGGGGGGTGCGTGTGTCCTCCGTGAGGCCCAGGCTTTCCACCCGGAGGAAAACTGGCACACGACGTCGGAAGGCGCAGACGCGATGCCTGTCCGAGGAGCCGGCCGGTGAGGGCCTGGCTTGGGGCAGGAGGTGGCCCGGGCCCAGCCCTGAGGATGGCTGCGGCTTTAAGGGGAAGAGGCGAGCAGCACTCCAGCAGGATGAGCGCAGGGCCCCTCCGGAGGAGGGCGTCTGCTGCATCGACCCTGACCACTCGCCCGTGTGCAGGAGGGCATTTCAAAGCGGTCACGTGACGCCCCTTAAGGAGCCAGAGTGGCTGCTCAAAGCCATGTGCGGCTCCTGTGTGCTCTGAGCCGTACTGTCGGTGAGCGTTCCTTTTCCACGGGAGTCAGAGCTGCCGACTGGACGTGAGCAGGACGGAGACAGGGCTCCCGGGAAGCCAGATCATTCAGCCTGAGGGACCCTGGCTTCTGCTCTCCCTGGCTCTCCCTGGCTCTCCCTGGGGATTGGGAAATTCAGTAGGTGTTGATCTCACCTGGAGAGGCTGGCAGTCTTGGTGGAGGGAGGGCAGCGAGTACTTACCAGGCTGGGACAGGGGAGGGGTCCCACTTAGCGGTTCACCTTCCTTCTGCACTGGCTAGCACCGGGCACAGGAGCCCGACCAGCTCTCCCTCAGGGTGGCGGACAGTGTGGCTGCGGAGCCAGGCTGGAGGACCCGGTGGGAGCGGGCCCAGCTAGGGAAGGACATGAGATCCACCGCCCCTGGGCTCCGGCGGGCAGACGAGGGTCCCCCGTGGGCTGAGTGCAGGGCCGGCCTGGAACGTAAGGGGAGACATTGCTTCCTGCTCCGAGGCCGTCGGTGCCTCAGGTGCCTGCTCACCGGGCTCGTCTTCCTCCTGACGCACAGGCAGCCTCCATCCCAGACTACCGGGGTCCGAACGGGGTGTGGACGCTGCTGCAGAAGGGGAGGCGCGTGAGGTAAGCGCCCGCACAGCCCTCCCCGGGCGGAGCGGGGCAGCGGAGCCTGACGCCCGCTTCCCTCTCCCCGGCAGCGCCGCCGACCTGAGTGAGGCGGAGCCCACCCTCACCCACATGAGCATCGCCCGCCTGCACGAGCAGAAGCTGGTAAGCACCCTGCGTGGCTGGCCGTGCACCTGCCGTGCCCACGGCGTGGGTCCTGGGCGCCACCTTGCCTGTTGGCCGGTGGGCGCCTGGAGGAGCCCACCAACTGGCGTGGCCGCCTGGCTGAGCTCTCTCAGCCTCCCGCTTCCTCTGCAAGGGAAAGGGGTGCAGGCGCTGAGCTCCAGGCTGCCCAGAGCTGTTCGGGGGTGGGGGGGCCTCCTGCATCCGGCTGGTACCAGCTGCTTCTCAGAGGCTCCGCGCGGGTCGGAGCTGCCCCTGGTTTGGGGGCTCTGGGCCGCCCGGCACAGGACGGCTGCCCCGCCGTCTGCCGCTGCCCCGCCTCCCCCGAGCGCCCTGTCCCCTCAGGTGCAGCACGTGGTGTCACAGAACTGCGACGGCCTCCACCTGCGGAGCGGGCTGCCGCGCTCGGCCATCTCGGAGCTCCACGGCAACATGTACATCGAGGTGAGCGGCCGCGCAGGCGGGGGCGAGGTTTGGGGGGACGGCGTCCCCACTCACGTGCCCGCCCTCCTCAGGTCTGCACGGCCTGCACTCCCAACCGGGAGTACGTGCGGGTGTTTGACGTGACGGAGCGCACCGCCCTGCACCGGCACCAGACCGGCCGGGCCTGCCACAAGTGCGGGGCGCCGCTCCGCGACACCATCGTGCACTTCGGGGAGAGGGGCACCCTGGGGCAGCCCCTGAACTGGGAGGCGGCCACCCAGGCGGCCAGCACAGCAGACACCATCCTGTGTTTGGGCTCCAGCTTAAAGGTACACACGGGGCCGGGGCGGAGGGGAGCGGGGAGTGCAGGGAGTGGACCTGCTGGCAGCTGGCCGGCGCGGCACGGAGCCCGGCTCCCCATAGCCTGTCCCTGGTGTGTGTGTGGTCGGTCTGTCGTCCATCCGTCCCCACAGGTTCTAAAGAAGTACCCACGCCTCTGGTGCATGACCAAGCCCCCCAGCCGGAGGCCCAAGCTCTACATTGTGAACCTGCAGGTACCTCGCTGCCCGGAGGCACGTCCTGCATCCGCGGAGCGTCCCCGTCCTGCACTCGTGCACCCTGGGGGGCTAGCCGAGAGGACCCAGGCTGCTGACCTCACTGCCTCCCCCTTCTGTCCCCAGTGGACCCCAAAGGACGACTGGGCCGCGCTGAAGCTCCACGGGAAGTGTGATGACGTCATGAAGCTCCTCATGGACGAGCTGGGCCTGGAGATCCCCCCCTACAGCAGGTGAGGGGTGTGCGGTGCCCCCCGCCCCGTGTGGATGGGTGTCCGTCCTCTCCGAGCTGAGCGTGGAGGAAGTCTGAGGTGTTGCCAGCTGTGTCTGAGGCGTGCCTGCGGTGTGGTGGCTCTGCAGGGGCCAGCCCGGTTCCTGGCTGTGGGGACTCCTGTGGGGAGAGGGCGTAGACCGGGTGTGTCTGGACGCTCCCCCTGACCTCAGGCCCAGAGGGGAGGCCCCGGAAGGGACATGCGCTCGGCAAGCCCAGTCACAGGCTGGGTGCCCTCAGGGCCCTCGGTGTGGGGAGCGTAAAGAAACTGTTCCTAATACAGAACGTGTGATGATTTAGACGTGTGTGTGTGTGTGTGTGTGTGTGTGTGTGTGTGTGTTGAGTAAAAAGTTTACACTTTCTCTCTCTGTGAATTTCCAGGGTCTTATAGGGGAAATCAGTAACTTCTTTTAATCAAAGGGTTCAAGAATTAAGGATCCCTCACCTTCTGGGCCTGGCAATTCTTGTATGTTATGTGTGTGGTGTTCTGTAATGTGGGCCTATCGTGTACTGTACTTTTTTTTTTGTTTTTTTTTTTACATTAACTTAGCTCATTTTCCTTATCAGTGCTTATCTGTATCTTACGTTTATAATATGTGGTTCTACATCTCAGACACATGACCTCACCCGGGAGCCTGTAGGCCACACCTCCCTAGTCAGCTGGCCTTCCCACCTATCAGTCTGGGAAGGGGGAGAGGGTCTGGTCCCCCTGCCCCCTGGCCTCACAGTGAGAGGAAGGGCCCAGAGCTGCCAGTGACTCATCCTTGCGGGGATGCCTGCCTCCACCTGAGCTGCCGTGCCTGCCGTTGCCAAGGACGCGCTCTGCGGAGGCGGGGCTAGGCTGGGGCTGCCCCTCTAGCTCAGGAACCGTGTGGCCACCTCCACCAAAGCTGCCACAGCTGAGACGGGGCGGGCGCAGGGTCCCTCAGTCAGGTTCCTGTCCCGGGGCAGGTTGTGACCGGGCGGCTTCAGGTCACACCGGACCCAGCTCTCCCTTTTCGGCAGGTGGCAGGACCCCATCTTCTCCCTGGCGACTCCCCTGCGGGCTGGCGAGGAGGGCAGCCACAGCCGGAAGTCACTGCGCCGGAGTCTGGAGGAGCCCTCGCCCGGGGACCAGGGGGCACCTCTCAGCCCGGCCCCCGTCCGGGGTGGCTGGTTTGGCAGGGGCTGCGCCAAAGGCACCAAGAGGAGGAGAGTGACATAACCTGGTGCTCCACTGGGAACAGCAACCGGCACTTTGCAGATGGCTGGACCTCAGGTCCGGGCCGCTGGCACCCAGAAGGCTGGGACTGCCCCACGGGTCCAGGGAGAGCGCTCGGGGATGGGGGACACGGTCACGGTGACATGCTTAGCCATTTGTCCTGGTGGGGAGTCCCGTGGCCCTGCTGTGCTTGTCCTGCTTGCCCCCCGCGTCCCCCTCCGGTGGGCCTGGGTGCTGACAAGTGGCCCATCCAGTCTGACCCAGAGGTGGCAGCCACGCCTTCCTGTGAGCAGAGCTCCGGGTACATCTCACCTGGCCAGCCAAGGGGAAGCACTCGCTGCCTTGCCGCCTCCTTCAGGCCAGTCTCAGGGGCCTCCACCCTATTTCTACTTCTTACTAAAAATGCTGACTTTATAGTAAACCTTTTTCTGTATTGGTTTGCGGCCGAGGGCTGGTTTTGAACCTTAGCTCTCAGCAGACCTCTTTGTTGCTAATAAACTTCTCTGCATTGTCTTCCCAGCGTCGCTGCATCACTGCCCTTGCGTCGCTGTGGGGCGCCAGGCCCCGCGGGGCTCCTCGGCGGGGCGGGAGGTACTCCTGGTGGCTCTGCCCCGCGCCCTAAGCCAGGTGCGAGCCCAGGGACGGCGCGCGTACGCCATTGGCTGCAGGCAGGGGTGGGCGTGGCCATGTCCTGGAGGCGCAGCCCATTGGCCGCGAGCGGAAGGGCAGGGCTCGGTTAATCGAAGGCCGCTCGTGCTCGCCATTGGCCGCGTGAGACAGGTGGGGCGGGGCCCAGGGGCGGGGCGGCGCTCCCCATTGGTCGCCCGTGGCGGGTGAGTCCCGTGTGACGGCGCGTGCGCAGGGCGGGGCGGCGGCGGCCGCTCGGAGTTTGGGTCCGTCCGTGCCGCGCCGCTGCCGGTGACATGATCCGCAACGGGCACGGGTTGGCGGGCGGCGCCGAGCCGCCGGGCCCGGGGGGCCGGGCCGCCGTGCGGGTGTGGTGTGACGGCTGGTGAGCGCGGCGGCGGGCGGGGCGGGGGGCCGCTGCGCTGTTGCCCGAGGCGCGTCCTGAGCCGCGCTCGCCCGGGGCCTCGGGCGGCCTTCACGGCGGGGAGGGCGGCGGCGGCGGACGCGGGCTGCGGCTCCCGGATGGAGGGCGCCCGGGACCCGGGCCGCCCCCGCACGGCAGCGGGCGAGCGGGTCCAGGACGCAGGCGGGCGCTGGCCCGGCCCGGGGACCGGCTCCCGGAGCAGCGCCTCCCGGAGCAGCGCTTCCCCGCGATCGGCAGCGGCTGCGCCCCGACCCGGCCGCGGCCCGGGGGGGCCGCCGTGGCGCAGGTCGCGCGCTTCCGATCTGGCGGCTTAAGTCCGCTCAGGGCCGCCTTCCCGGGGTCTGTGCCAGGCTCCCCGACGTGCCCAGCGCAGGACCAGAGGGGTCGCCCGGGTGTCTGGGCCGCGTCAGCGTGGGAATAGTGGGACCCAGGACCCCCACCCCCAACCCCCGTGCAGCCCGTGGGCCCCCGGGAGCCGCACAGCAGAGCGGCGTGATGTTTGGGGCTCAGTTGGTAGCTTGCCACCCACGAAGCTTCCTCAAACCTGTGCTGATGGAAGCAGAGGGGGGAAAACACCCCCGTGGCGGCAGGCCGCCTGCACCTGAGTCACCTTGGGGCCGGGGGTGTGGCTGTGTGTCTGTGGACTCTGACCTTGGCCCTGGCCGGGCCAGGTGCTCGCCCCAGCAGGTCACAGCCACAGGGCTGCAGTGACAGGACCCGCCGGGGCCCAGGGCCTCCTGCACTCCGGGCCCGGCCTGTCCAGTGGGAATGGGATCCCGGCCCCAGTGCCCCGGGTTTGGACTGCCCTCTTCCCTTACCCCAGGGCCAGAGCCCTGTGACCCCCAGGCCGGTGTGGTGAGAGGGGGGTGACAGGTGGTGCAGGTGGAGGCAGGGTCAGCTCGGAGGCTGGGACCCTCTGGGGGGCGCCGCCAGGCAGTGTGGCCTCCCCAGCATACCGAGCGGGTGGGACCTGGCCCGACAGCGGCTGCCATCTGTGGCCTTCAGCCGAGGGCACCCTTAGCCAGGCCGGATTTGAGGCTAAAAGCTCTGGAACCAGGTGACAGGGAGGCAGTGGTTGGCCTCCCCTGGTGGCTCACAGGTTTCCACAGCAGGCGGCTACCCCGTCCACTGGTCAGACTTTGCTTCCTGTTGGCCCCAGAGTCTGGCCACCTGTCAGGGTGGTTAGCTCACCTCTCATTCTACAGCTGAAGGCCACCAGGTGCTGTGCACGTGGAGGGGCAGAGCTGTGCGTGTGCCCTCAGTCCTCAGGACCTGCAGGTCTGCCCTTACCCCGGCCCCGGCTGGCAGAGCTCAGCACCCTCCCCTCCGAGCTCAGCCTCCGCCGGACCCTGGGGGCAGCTCCTGGGGCGGCCAGCCTGTGCTGTCACCGCCCACGGCCGCCCGGCCTCACCACCCGCCCTCTCCACAGCTACGACATGGTGCACTACGGCCACTCGAACCAGCTGCGCCAGGCTCGGGCCATGGGGGACTACCTCATCGTGGGCGTGCACACCGATGGTGAGGGGCTGTGCCCACCTCCAGCCCCCTCCCCAGGGGCCCCAGCATCCTGGGATCCTGGTGGGGGCGGGGCCCCACAGCGCCGGTCTCGGGCCCTGAGGGGTGTGGCCGCTCGGGGTGGATGGTGGCCTCCGTGTCACCTCCTGCCTCCCCTTCTCCGGCCCCAGAGGAGATCTCCAAGCACAAGGGGCCGCCGGTGTTCACGCAGGAGGAGCGGTACAAGATGGTGAAGGCCATCAAGTGGGTGGACGAGGTGGTGCCCGCGGCCCCTTACGTCACCACGCTGGAGACGCTGGACAAGTACCGCTGCGACTTCTGCGTCCACGGCAGTGAGTGGCAGGCGAGGGCGCAGCCTGAGCCCTGGGTCCCTCCCCGGAAAGGAGCCCAGGCCTCGGGCAGCCTGGGACGGCTGTGCCCTGAGGTGTTGGAGGCTGTGGGTTAACGGTCCTGTTCCGTGTGCCTGTCGCCTTAGATGACATCACCCTGACTGCAGACGGCAGGGACACCTACGAGGAGGTGAAGCAGGCGGGGAGGTACAGGTGAGCCCGGCGGCGGGGCGTGCGGCCACGCTGTGTCCCCCGGCCCCCGGTCGTGGCGGGATGGGGGCTGCACTGCAGAGCCGCCAGTTCTCTCTCACCCAGAGCCTCAGGGAAACGCTGTCTGCATGGCGCCCCCGGGAGGCGGGCGGCCCAGAGCTCCGCCCAGCTCCTGTCACCTCTGTCCCCAGAGAGTGCAAGCGCACCCAGGGCGTGTCCACCACGGACCTCGTGGGCCGCATGCTGCTGATGACCAAGGCCCATCACAGCGGTCAGGTGAGGCGGGGCGGGGTGGGGGTGGGACCTCCGAGGTCCCTCACCAGCCACCTGGCTTTCGGGAGGCGCAGCCGCCTGCGTTCCTGAGCTCCAGGCTGTGGCTTCAGTGTCCTGGGCGTGGCCTCATCTGGAGGGGCCGGCCCAACCCTCCCCTTCCTTGCAGGAGATGTCCTCGGAGTACCGGGCGTACGCAGACAGCTTCGGTAAGGTGAGTGCTGCCGGAGCCACGGCCGCCACCGGCTCCCCGCCTCCGGGCGCTGACCAGGTACTGACCAGCACTGCCTGGAGGAGGAGCAAGGACAGCCCACAGAGGCCTCTGACCTGGCGGCCTGGCCCTCTCTCCCTCTCCAGCCGCCTCGCCTGACACCTGCCAGGGAGATGCTTTTCTCAGAAGGTTCCTCCAGGTGACCAGCGGTGGCCTGAGGGTGCTGGTCACAGGCCTCCCTCAGTACCTAGGTGGTGGCGGCTGCAATGCCCTCTGTGGCCACAGGGTGGAGCCACAGTCCCACCAACCACAGGCCCCCGTCCAGCCCTACGTGCCCTGCCTGAGACACCTGCCCGCAAACAGCCCCTGAGCCCTGGCGGCTGGGCCGGTTTAGTCCTGACCTGGAGCCCACACCTGCGGCCTCCCTCCCACTCCGGTGCCTCCCAGCAGGGGGCAGGCACGGCAGCCACCCGGGCTCAGCGAGGGGACAGGCGAGAGACCTCTGCGCCGCTGTGGCTGACCACGCCGCCTCTCGCTCGCAGTGCCCGGGGGGGCGGAACCCCTGGACCGGGGTGTCCCAGTTCCTGCAGACGTCCCGGAAGATCATCCAGTTTGCCTCCGGGAAGGAGCCGCAGCCCGGGGAGACCATCATCTACGTGGCTGGCGCCTTCGACCTGTTCCGTATCCTCCGCTGCCCACCTGCCCGGGCCTCCGACCTCCCGCCCCCGGGGCCTCCTGACCTCCTCACCTCCCGCCCGGGGGGTGGGGGGGGCTCCTCACCTCCCACCCAGGGGCCTCCTCACCTCCTCACCTCCCGCCCGGGGGCCTCCGACCTCCCGCCCCCGGGGCCTCCTGACCTCCTCACCTCCCGCCGGGGGGGCAGCTCAGGGCAGGGGGGGGCGGCCTGCCTCACTTTTCCTGAACGGGCACAGACATCGGGCACGTGGACTTCCTGGCGAAGGCGCACGGCCTGGCGGAGAGGCCCTACGTCATCGCCGGCCTGCACTTTGACCAGGTCACAGCCTGGGAGCCTCGTGGGGAGCCTGGAGGGGGGCTCGGTAGCCCATGGGGAGCGAGGCCCCAGCTGCGGGCGGAGGCAGAGGAGACGGCTGGCTGGGGCCTCGGGAGGGCGGTCTGCACGCCTTCCCCACGCCAGGGGGTCCCCACCGGGGTCGCTGGCAGGGGCCTGCTGACCGCCCCCTCTGGCCTTAGGAGGTCAACCACTACAAGGGCAAGAACTACCCCATCATGAACCTGCACGAGCGGACCCTGAGTGTGCTGGCGTGCCGGGTGAGCGCGGGCGGAGGGCGGGCCGGGCGGCGGGGACGAGGCCCGGCCTGTCCCTGTGTCTGCACGGGCCGCCTGGGCCAGCCTGGGCCTCGCTGACGGCGGTGCCGTCCCCACAGTACGTGTCGGAGGTGGTGATCGGGGCCCCCTACGCGGTCACCGCAGAGCTCCTGGACCACTTCAAGGTGCGCTCCCAGCGGCGGGTCCGGGGAGGGCTGGGCTGGGTGGGCAGGGGCCCTGTGGGTGGTCCCGGGAGGGCTCCCTGACCGGCCCCTCTGCAGGTGGACCTGGTGTGTCACGGGAAGACGGAAATCGTGCCTGACAAGGACGGCTCCGACCCGTACCAGGTGGGCACGCGGCCGGGCGCCTGCTGCTGGGGCTGGTGGGACCACTGCTCCCCGGGCCTCACAGGAGCAAGTGTCCCCTCACTGCCCGCCCCCGCCCTTCAGGAGCCCAAGAAGAGGGGCATCTTCCGTCAGATTGACAGCGGGAGCAACCTCACCACGGACCTCATTGTCCAGCGCATAATCAAGAACAGGTAAGGCCCGGCGCTGGGGAAGCGGAGCCCCAGCCGGGCTCCCCATGCTCACGTCCCCGCCCCCGCCCCAGGCTGGAGTATGAGGCCCGGAACCAGAAGAAAGAGGCCAAGGAGCTGGCCTTCCTGGAGGCCATGAAGCAGCAGGAGGAGCTGCCCGAGAGAGGGAGCCACGCCGCCTTCTGAGGGAGGACGTCCCAGGAGCCTGGCTGGCCCCCTGCCCCGCTTCCTCCCTCCCAGCGGGCTCCTGTGTTCTCAGCTGCAGCCCCAACCAGCGGCCCTGAAGGGCCGGTGAGGACGTTCCTGCCTTCCCCTCCCTGAATGGCGCCCCACAGCCCCTCCGTTAGGCTGCACGGAGGGGGGCCAGCCGGGGGAGGACGGAGAGCACCTCCCGGGCCACCGCCCGGCGAGCCGGGAGGCCAGCTTCCCTCCGCCCGGCTGCACTGCTGGGCCCCGTCCACCCCCGGGAGGCTGCGGACAGCGTGCTTCCTGGCGCCCAGCTTGGCGAGTCCACTTCAGGGACAAGGACCCGAGGGGCCGCACCTGCCTGGGTGCAGGCGGCTGCTTCTGCATGGCGCCCCGGCCGCCTCCTGCTCCCCACGCTCTCCTCGCCTCTGTGCCTAACGTACAACCGAATAAACCTGGTGGGCGGTGCTCCGTGTCAGCTGTCGGCCCTGCGCCCACCACCGCCCAGAGGGCAGCAGCAGGCAGCGGGGCAGCTGTGTGGCCTGGCAAACAGACCCCTCTGGGCTGAGAGCACCTGTCCCAATGGCGGGCGAGGTGGGAAGCTGGGGCACAGGAGTCCGGGGCAGCCAGGACCAGGCGGAAGCCCTGGGAGCCGCAGGCCCTCCAGGGGTCAGCAGTGGTAGCCACGGTCCGTGACTCCAGAGCCAAGCACGCTGGCAGGGAGCCCCGAGAACAGAGGGGCCAGAGCCCAGTGCCCGCAGGGAAGCGGGGAACCAGGCCCGAGGGGTACCAGGTGGGGTGCCAGCTCTTGCCCAGCCGGTGACATTGGCCATTAGGCTGTCAGGAGCCCCTCCTCCCACGCCAACTTCGGACATCCTGGTCGCATCCGTGTCCTGGGACAGCAGCCGTTGCCAAGGCCCCACAGGGGGTTCTGGGCCGGGCACTGGGCTGGGTTCAGTGGAGCCGACCATCCCAGGGCCTCCTTTCCTGTGAGCACATCGATGGGGTAGGAAGTGGTGCCAGCCTGGGGACAGGAGTCCCCTCCCAGTGAACTGCCCTGTGTGCTCACCGGGGAATGACAGGCCCCCGGCAGCCACGCCCACTAGGCAGAGGGTGTTAGCCTGGGGCACTGAGGAGGAGGGAAGGAGTCCCTGTCAAAGGCTCCCCACAGCCCCTGGGAACCCAAGCTCCACCCAGAAGCTGCCTCCACAGGAGCCTCCCATGGGCTGTCGCCCTGACACCTGAGGACACAGCCTGACGTGGGAGGGACATGTCCCTGGGCTGGAGGCACAGCCTCGAGGAGGGGGGACAGGATGGAGACAGCGCGCCAGCACCTGCATTGCCCCACAGTTCCTAACAGCCTCAGCACCTGCTGGGGACCCCTGGCAGAGGGACGGTGGCAGTGGCTGCAACTGCCCAGCCAGGCCCCCCAAACCAGCTCGGCTACCAGTGAGAAGCTGCCTGAGCCACAGGCCCTGCCCCATGGCTCCTCCGCCTCCCCATGAGCAGGAACAGAGCCCAGGGCCTCCGGGGCCACCAGGCCGCTCCTGCCCCCCCTTCGGCTGATGCTCGCTCCTTTGCCTCCGGGGAGTGACTCGGGGCCCAGCGGCACCCAGAGATGTTTATTCATGAGTTTTCATGTCCACACGCACAGGAAACTGGCAGCAGAGGCTCCGGCACCGCTCGGCAGTTTAATGAGACTCACTGGATAAACGTGTCCACCCGGACTGAGGAAGCACTGGCCGTTCGGGGTCCATGGGGCGGGGGGAAAGGGGGCCTCCAGCGGGCGGGCGGGCGGGCGCTCACTCCTTGAACTTCCACTCCTGGCGGCACATGGGGCAGTGCTGCTGCACCTGCTGCGCGTTGAGCCACTTGAGGATGCAGTGCATGTGGAAGCAGTGGGAGCACTGGCCCCACACCAGCGGGCAGTCGTCGCCCGGCACCTTGCCTGCAGGGACGAGAGAGCGGGTCACAAAGGCACGCAGCAGCAGCAGGACCGGCCGGGACCACAGGACGTTCAGCATCGGTGCCCAGGGCCTCTGGGAGAGACAACTGCAGGAGTCACCCCTGATTCTGAGGGACACCCCCTGCCCCCGTGTGAGCCCCACCCAGGGAGAGCAGCTGGGGGGCATCAGTGGCAGGAGGAGCCCTGGCCTGGCCCACAGCCCCCACCGCCGGCCTATCAGCAGGCCCGGCAGCGTGGCCCCCCCCCGACCTGCGATGCCGACGCTGCAACAAGACTGTCTCAGTGCAGCGGGAGCTAGGCCTCTTTCTTTAAAAAAAATAATTTTTTTATTGACTTCAGAGAGGAAGGGAGAGGGAGAGAGATAGAAACATCAATGAGACAGGCTGCCTGCACATCCCACACTGGGGATGGAGCCCAAAACCTGGGCCTGGGCCTGGGCCCTGACCAGGAATCAAACCCTGACCTCCTGGTTCATAGGTTGCTGGGGCTTGGGTCTTTTGTTGATAGGTTTGACACCAGCGGCTGCTTGTTTGTGAGATTTTAGCAAAGTCTGAAGCCTGAGCCAGGACATGCCATTCATTTGGAAAAGCAGCTACAAACAGCTTGGGTGAGACTGCCTATGGGATCAGTTGGGGGCTCGGGAATCCCCAAGACAGAGCAAGTAGTGTGCTGAGGTTCAATCACTGAGCCCGCCAGCCAGGCAACCATTTAAAATAATCTCCTCTAACAAAAATACCACTTGCTTCCTGAAGCTTTTATGACACAACCAGAAAACTATACACTTAGAAAACACAAAATTAAAACTGACAAACCGAAAGTCAGATATAAAGACAGTAAAGCAACAAGCAGACTGTAAAATTACAGCAGGGAGAGTAGGGAGATCTGGGGGAGATAAGAGATCAACCGGAGGCCGAGACCGGTTTGGCTCAATGGATAGAGCGTCAGCTTGGGGACTGAGGGGTCCCGGGTTCGATTCTGGTCAGGGGCATGTGCCTTGGTTGCGAGCATATTCCCGGAGGGGGGTGTGTAAGAGGCAGCTGGTAGATGACTCTCTCTCTCATCGATGTTTCTAGCTCTCTATCCCTCTCTCTTCCTCTCTGTACAAAATCAATAAAATATATATATTTTTAAAAATCAACAGAAGGACTTGTATACATATAAGTACAACCAACCGACACAAAACTCTGGGGAGGGAGGATATGTATGGGGGGGGGGGCAATGTTAAAATATGTACACAGATAATAATTTTTAAAAAAAAAAGCAAAAAAAAAAAAAAGAAAACACAAAATTATACACCTCACTCCCTGCCTGAGCAGGAGCCCACAGCATGGGACACCACCACACCAGGGCCTTTCAGGTGCCTTACAAACAGGAGAGCAGGAGCAGCCCGCCCACGGCTGGGTCCCGGGAGCCCACCGGCAGGCACTCCCTGCCCGGGCCAGGGCGTCTCCCAGGGCTGCCAGTGTCCGATGGCGACCTCCTCGTAAGGACTCAGTCACGGGACTCTCACTCGGAGCTGCTGGGCCGCGGAGCGGACTCAGCCTCAGGTGCTCTGGGTTTCCACAAGGACTCCCATTGCGCGAGAGAAACCCAGGGCCACTTAGTCTCGCAGGAAGCACCTGAGCTTGTCAGATGCCGCGCACAGCCCAGCCGGCCTCCTCAGCAACCACCAGCAGCCCACAGGTCAGACCAACGCTCCCTGCCCGCAGCTGGCAGGGTCACAGACACCCAGCCGCGGGCCAGCTGGGACGGTGCCATCTCGAACACAGGCTCACCCACCCAGGGCAGTGCCACCAAAAAGTCTTTTGAAGACTTCTTTCCAGAAAGTACAATCCGTTGCTTAGAAAGTTGCAAGAGCCGAAACCGGTGTGGTTCAGTGGTAGAGCATCGGCCTGCGGACTGAAGGGTCCCAGGTTCGATTCCGGTCAAGGGCATGTACTTTGGTTGTGGGCACATCCCCGGTAGGGGGTGTGCAAGAGGCAGCTGGTCGATGTTTCTCTCATCAACGTTTCTAGCTCTCTATCTTTCTCCCTTCCTCTCTGTAAAAAATCAATAAAATCTACTTAAGAAAAGAAAGTTACAAAGAGCTCCTTGGCTCCGTGGCCTCGTGTGCCCGTGGAAACAATTTAAATGGATTAAAAGCTTTGCAGACGCTGGTGACCAGTCACAGTTAACCCATCCGTGTTCTTGGACATCCCAAGCCCTCGGGCCATGTCTCCTTCGAGCTGTTTGCAGACCAAGTTCCAAAGACAGCAGGAAACTGCCGTGCTCTGAGCACCGGGTGGAGAGGATCTGGTTACAAAGATTCCTGCTTTCACAGTTATTCCGGGGTTTATGTGCCAGGGCGGTGACTCCACAGGCCATAATGGCACAGGCGGCAAGTCCATCCATGGGGAGAAGTTTGTGGACGAGAACTTCATCCTGAAACACACGGGCCCTGGATCCTGTCCTTGACACAAACGGCTCCCAGTGTTTCATCGCACCTCCAACCTGAGCGGCCAGGAGACAGGAGGCATGGATGTTGTGAGGCCACGGAGCAATTTGGGTGCAGGAATGGCAAGACCAGCAAGAAGATCGCCATTGCTGACTGTGGGCGACTCGTAATAAACCTTTTATCTTCACTATCAGACCATTCCTTCCGCAGCTCAGGAGAGCACCCCTTCACCCCGATTTGCTTGGGATGCTCCATCTTTGTGCTCTTGCCAGTTTATTGGGTTCCATCGTTTCCTTACCCCTTACCAGTCTAGCTGGGTTGCAGAGTTAAATTTATGATTATGAAATAAAAACTAAAGTTATCTGTCTAAATAAATAAGTAAAATGGATTAAAAAAACACTCAGTAAAGCCAATCAATGGCTACCTCCGGCTCTGCCCACCCGGGTGATCAGATCTGGACGGATTAGCTCCTGGTGATAAGATTTCCCCCAAAAGCAGATGAGATTAAGCCTGGAATAAAATAGCATTTGCTCATCAATGTTTCTTTTTTTCTCTTTTCTTTCTTTTTTTCTTTTTGCTCATCCATGTTTCTCTCTATCCCTCTCCCTTCCTCTATGTAAAAAATCAACAAAATATATTTAAAAATAAAATAGCGTTTGCACTAACATTCCATTGAGGTTTGCATTTCACTGTGACAAGCTAAGTCCTGTCGCTATTCTGGGCACTCAGCCCCACAGGAAAGGCCTGGTCCCTGCAGGGCGGGGGGAGGCCTCAGCCCCCCACCTTCTCCTCAGGGCACCCGGCCCGTGGCCGAGTCCTCCCCTGGCTTCTGCTCTGTGTTCCCTTGGGTCTGACGAAAAACTCAACCCACCGCAGCAAACGTGTGCTTTGGACCTAAATAGACAGCAAAATATTTCTCCTTGGCAGAAGAGGCAGGAAACAAGGGAACCACAAAGGAGAAATCCAGTGAAACCTGATGGTCAGCAAATCACACACACACACACACACACACACACCAGCTTCCTAAAGGGTCGGAGGTCAGAGAGAGAGAGAGAGGCTGCTCAAGACCAAGCAGCTAAAAAAAGACAAAGACCAAACAGGCAGCGGGCAGGGCGATCGGCCCACCGCCAATAGGCCGGGGCGGCTGGCGAGCCGTGAGCGGGACGAGGGACGGGCAGCGGACACCGAGGACCCGGCCGGTGGGGCGGGGCCCGGGCGCATCCAAACTGGGTGAGGGGCCAGTTTACCAACCACTTTGAAACGCGTCCCCCATCCAGAGGCCCAGCGGAGCTTCCTCACGGCCCCTCCGTCCGGCGGGATGTCTCCTTACAAACTCCTTTTCTGGTCCTTTGTTTTCAAAGTTCAACCCTGCTCTTCGCCCCACGCGTGCCCCAGCCCGGACCCCTCACCAAACGATGGCGTCCTGACCCACGTTCGGACCCAAACCTCCGACCTTCCTTCTGCCAGCTTTTCTCGAGGGGAGGGACCCCGGAGCTCAGAGATACCCCAGAGCCCAGAGGGACCCCAGAGGGACCCCACACCCCAGAGGGACCCCAGAACCCAGAGCCCAGGGAGACCCCAGAGCCCAGAGCCCAGGGGGACCCCAGAGGGACCTCAGAGCCCAGAGGAACCCCAGAGGGACACCAGAGCCCAGAGGGACCCCAGAACCCAGAGCCCAGGGGGTCCCCAGAGCCCAGGGGGACCCCAGAGGGACCTCAGAGCCCAGGGGGACCCCAGGGGGACCCTAGAGCCCGGGGGAGACGCCGGGGCGGGGGCACTCACAGTCCGGGCAGCAGCCGTTGAAGGCCATCCGGCAGATGCCGCAGTTCTCGTCGTTGGCCACCCAGAGCCAAGTGGCCACGCCGTTCCAGCACTTAATCTTCACCTTCATGGCGGTGGGGCCTGCGGGCGAGGAGAGCGCGCTGCGGCCGAGGCGGCGGGGCGACCCCGCCGCAAGGGGCCGGGGCCCGGGTCGCCGCGGGAACCCGGGCGCCGCAGAGCTCGGACCGCACTCGGACCCGTGCGGAGGCCGCCGAGGGGCCGAGCTCCCGCCACCAGCCCGGCCGTCGGGGCCGCAGACCGACAGGCACCCACGGCGCCCCGCCCGGAGCTCACCCAGGAAGCGCCCAGCGGCTGGGGTCGGCGAGGGGAAGGGCGGGGAGCCGGCCCCGCCCACGCCCCGCCCACGCCCCGCCCCCGGGAGGATTTAAACCGCGAGCAGCGCCGCCCGCTTACAGTTGCCTCGCCGGCTCCGCGCGGGAAGGTCCGAAAGGAGCGCGCTCGCAGCCCGGCAGCTCTCAGTCCCGCCCGCCCTGCCCCGACTCCTGCGCGCACGCGCCATCCCGCCCCTCGCTGCGCCCGCAACCAATCACCGATCGCGTAGGGGACGCCGCGCCGGAAGTGACGTGCCGGCGTGCTGACGCGCGGGCTCGAGCCGAGGCCGATTCCGCGCCCGCCATGGCCGACAAAATGGACATGTCTCTGGACGACATCATTAAGCTGAACCGGAGCCAGCGGGGCGGCCGCGGCGGGGGCCGGGGCCGAGGCCGGGCCGGCTCCCAGGGAGGCCGCGGCGCGCAGGCCGCCGCACGAGTGAGCCGGGGCGGCGGGCCCATTCGGAACCGGGCGGCCCTCGCCCGCGGCGCGGCGGGCGGCGGAGGCAGGAACCGGCCGGCGCCCTACAGCCGGGTAAGTGCGGCGGCCGCGGCGGGGCGCGGCGGGCGGGGCGGCGCGCGCGGGGCCGGCGGTGGGCGGGGTCGGGCCGGTGGGCGCGGGCGGCGGGCCGGGCGGGCAGGTCGCGCGCCGGCCGGGCCCGGGAGGGAGGCGGGGACCCTCCGCCTTTGTCTGGCGGGGCAGCCGGCCTCGTGGCGGGGCTTCGGGGACGCCGGCGCGGCCGCCGGGCGGCGGGAAGTTAGTTGGAGGAGAAGTTGCGGGACGGCCCGGGCGCCGCGGGGGCGGGGGCGGGGGCCCCGGCGGGGAGGCGCGGCCGCGGCTGCGAGGGGGGGAGCGAGAGCCGCGCAGCGGGACTCACGTTTCTGTTTCCGTGTTTCTTCCCTTTTCAGCCGAAACAGCTTCCCGACAAGTGGCAGCACGACCTCTTCGACAGCGGCTTCGGCGGCGGCGCCGGCGTGGAGACGGGCGGGAAGCTGCTGGTGTCCAACCTCGACTTCGGGGTGTCCGACGCCGACATCCAGGTGAGGAGCCGCGCCCCCGGTCGTCCCCCGCGCGGAGTCAGTCGCGTTGCCTGGGGAAGTGGCCCCGGGCCGCCGCGGTCAGGGGCCCGTGCTCCGGGGAGCTAGGCTGCTGGCTCCGGTGTTCGTCTCCGCGGTGTGCGGAGGCGGCGAGTGCGTGTCCGCGGCCGCAGGCCCTGAGCCGTGTGTCTCCGCCTGTTGTTTCACTTCCCACCACCCTCAGTCTCACTAGTGGCCTTTGGCTGAAGCCCCTTCGTTTGTGTTTTGCTTTTCGTTATTGGTTGAGTCCCAGAAGGGATTCAAACTGGTTCAGTGGCTAAGCGATGGCACCGTGGGGTCAGGTGCAGAGAAGGCGGGGTCAGGGTGCCCCGCGCTCAGCTGTGGGAGGACAGAGCGAGGCCGGTGAGCACTCACAGTGTCTCAACGCTTTTTTCAAGGTGGTTTCTGGCATCCACTGGAAACCGCTTTTGGTGACTCCTCTTCCCGCGCTGTGCCTGCGGCCGGAGTGGCCCCACACTCTGGGTTCCCTCTCCAACTCCCAGCCTGCCTGAGGTCAGGGCAGTTCCCATGGCAGCGCTTGACTTGAGACTTTGCGGCAGGCTTGAGTAGGAGGAGAGGGGAAGGTGAGCCAGAACCTGCCCTGGGGGAGGGGCTGGGGCAGGGCTCCCTGATCAGTGGGCCCTTGGAGCTGGTACGCACGGCAGGTGGTGTCCCCGGCTCTGTGATCTCGGCCTTTGCTGGCGGTTGGCACTGTCCTCGGGTGTGTTGTCAGCTCCTTTGTCAAGGAAGACAGCGACTCCAGGGGTGCCCCTCACAGGGGGGCTGTGTGGTGCAGTGGTCAGGCCCCGGTGCTGGCAGGGGCCCTGAGGCCCAGCTGTTCTGGAAGTTGCTGTCTTGCCTGCCCTGTCCTTCCCCACATGTCCACTCCCACTGTCCTGCCCCGCCTGTGTGTCTGCCCGCCCCCAGGGAAGTGCCCTCAAATGGCTGACCTCCGGGGGCTGTCCCTGGGCCCCAGGAGGAAGGCGCGTGGCTGACGGTGCTCTTCCTGCCCCGCAGGAGCTGTTTGCGGAGTTCGGGACCCTGAAGAAGGCGGCCGTGCACTACGACCGCTCTGGCCGCAGCCTGGGAACCGCCGACGTGCACTTCGAGCGGAAGGCAGACGCCCTGAAAGCGATGAAGCAGTACAACGGCGTCCCTTTGGATGGTGAGCTGGGGGTGGGCGCTGGGAAGCTGAGGGCTGCGCCTGTATGCTTCCGCCTGGTTGAGGACACTTTGCCTTTACCCTTTGCCTCCCATTCTGCACCCTCTGCTGCCCCTTCACCTGGACCCCCTCCTTGAGCTCCTTCCCGAAGCTTCACCTTCTCAGCAGCCCTCGGTGCTGCTCTGCAGGCAGGCTGAGGGTCAGGGTCCCCCCTTTTCACCTGTAAGCAGTGCCGCCTGAGTGAGGCGCTGGCAGGCTGCCCTTGGCGCTGTCTCCTCCTCCCAGCGGGTCCAGGTGTCTCTTGGTGGGTTTCCGCTGACGGGAGTGTGCCCTCTGTGTTCTGCGCAGGCCGCCCCATGAACATCCAGCTCGTCACCTCACAGATAGACACGCAGCGCAGGCCGGTTCAGAGGTGAGTCGGGCGTCTGGGGAGCCTTCGGGGGGCTGGCCTCGGCTTATCTTCAGGCCCCAGATGTGAACACCCCCTTCTTCTCGCTAGTGTCAACAGAGGCGGGATGACTAGAAACCGAGGATCCGGAGGCTTCGGCGGCACTCGGAGAGGCACCCGCGGAGGCAGCCGGGGCAGAGGCAGGGGCACCGGCCGGAGTTCAAAGCAGCAGATCTCCGCGGAGGAGTTGGACGCTCAGCTGGACGCATACAACGCCAGGGTGAGTCCCGGCCGGGGGCTGGGGCTGTCGGAGCGGGAGGAGGGAGCCTCCTCTGGTGGAGGCACGACCGCTGACCCCTGACCCCTTTCTCCTGTTGCAGATGGACACCAGTTAAAGGTCCAGCGCGTCCAGGCACGGAGCTGGGCCAGAGTCCTCGTGCCCTGCTTCCAGAGGGTGGCGGCGGGGCTGTGGCCAATGATGGAGTTGTTTCTTCTGTTTTGAAATAGGATTTAAAACTCATGTAAAGATTTTTCTTTTCCTTTTTTTTTAAATTCTGAAACAAACCTGTTTTGTACTGAGTTATTTTTGGGATAAATTTTACTGGTTGCTGTTGTGGAGGAGGTGGCGTTTTCACCTTTGCCATAATAAACAGAAACGTGTGTAGAACTGGACCTCTGATTCGTCGTTGGAGCCCTCACCAGGGGGCGACACTTTGGTGCTGACCGGGAGGGAGGAGAGGGATGCCGGGAGGAGGGTGGGGAGCAGCCCTGCAGGCATGTGGTGTCCTGGCAGGCTGGCACTGGAGCTGGGGAGGTGGTGGCTGGGCGGTAGGGACGGGGAGGAGCCCCGGGGACCCCCAGCCTCGCAGCTGGGACCAGAGGCTCAGACCAGAGGAGGGGTGCCTCTTGCAGGAAGGGTGCTCGGCCAGGCCTCTCCTGGAGGGAGCCTGCAGCTCAGGCTGCTCCCAGTTCCCAAGGGGCTGGAGTGACTCAGGACTGGCCCTGTCGCTGCCCCCTCCAGTGCTCTCCCTGCAGAGCTAGTGGCTGTCACGTTGCAGCCTGTGGAACGGGAGGCACTGAAGGACCTCGGAACAGCCGAGCCTGACACGCTGCCGTGGCCCAAGGGGTGGGTGTAACCGGTCGGGTTGTCTAGGGAGAGGCAGGCACATTTCTGAGGAGGTGGCCTTGGGCAGAGGGGCACGGGCAGGCAGGAGCAGGAGAGGTGGGGTCATCTTGGGCCCCTGCTGTCCAGAAGCTAAAGTCATACCTGAGGGAGGGGTGAGGTCTCCAGGCCGGAGGGCATAAGTGCTGGAAGTGCCAGCCTCTGGGGTGTGGAGCCGGGTGGTTCCTCAGTCTGGGGAGCAGTGCCAGGACCTGAGGGCCGGCCAGGTGCTGGAAACAACTGGGAACAAGAAATCTCAGCCGAAACAGGTTTGGCTCAGTGGATAGAGAGCCTGCAGACTGCAGGGTTCCTGGTTCGATTCTGGTCAAGGGCATGTACCTTGGTTTCAGGCACATCTCCAGTAGGGGGCGTGCAAGAGGCAACTGATCGATGACTCCATTGATGTTTCTCTCCCTCTCCCTCTCTGTAAAAAAATCAATAAAATATGTATTTTTTAAAAAAAAATCTCTGAAAGGCTGTGGAGGAAAATGGAGGAGGGGAGGACGGGGGGACTGGACATTGGGAGGGAAGCTCTACCTTAGTGGGAAGGCCCTGAGGTGAGGGCCCTGGTGTGGCTGGTGGGAGGGGGGGAGGGGCTGGCGTGGAAGGAAGGGGCTGGGTGAGGAGGGCTGTGGGCAGCTCTGGCCTCCATGGGTGACACCCGTGGACACTGCCTAGGGTGCATGTGGAGTGGGCTTTTGTAGTTTTCAGTGTGCAGAACGGGAGATGCTTGTTTTAGAAAACGATTTTCAATTGAAAGAAAACTTGGGAGGGGTCGATGGGGGAGGAGGGAGACATGTAAAACTTTCAACAATAAAGATTTTTAAAAAATACAACATTCAGTGGGCACAAAAGGCTGGTAATACACACAGGGCTGCCAGGCGAACCCTTGTCCTACAGGCGTGAAATGAGAGCTCTATCAAGGTAGTGTTGTCCCCTCAGTGTACAACTAGGAGATGTTACTGTACTCAGTCACACCACCAACATTCCAATTCCAGAATCTTCTCATCACTGCTCAGCCCTTCCTCTCCCCGATGGGCAATGGGCTGCTCAGTCTCTGGGTTTCCCTGTTTTGTTTTGTTTTGTTTTTTAAATATATTTTATTAACTTTTCACAGAGAGGGAAAGAGAGTTAAAAACATCCAAGATAGAGAAACACTGATAGCTGCCTCTTGCACACCCCCTTCTGAGGATGTGCCCGCAATCAAGGGACATGCCCTTGACCAGAATCAAACCTGGGACCTTTCAGTCAGGAGGCTCTATCCACTGAGCCAAACTGGCTTCAGCCGAGTTTCCCTGTTCTGGGTGTGTCGCACAGGAACGGTTTGCACGGGGCCTTCTTATCTGGCTGCTTTAAGTTCCAGTTCGACACTAACCAACTGACCTCCCGGCCAGGGCTCCTGAGGATTTCAAGTTCATCCACTTCTTGGCACGAATCAAGGCTTCAGTCCTCTAACTGCTGAGCCACCTGTGACGGGTTTCTCATCAGCTGCTGGGCATTTGAGCTGCTTCCCTTTTTGGCTGTTAGACGAATGCTGCTAAGCTCATTATTCACACTTATGCAATGTTATGTTATGGGATTATAAAGATGGCTATATTTTGCATAAGTGTTTACATGATTTACTGTAGTGAGATGTTATTATTAACGAGTCACCCTAGGATCAACTGACTATTTGGGGGTAATAGCAATAAATAATGCATCATTCAAGATTTTCACGTACAAATGAAACCAGAAGGTAATCTTGTTAATTTTAAGAACATCAACTTGTCTGATCATTTAGCCCAACCTATGAGAGTTAATTTTTTTGTTACCTACACAGGTTGCAGAAACAGTTGTAAAACATTTTAGCACAATAGTAAATTAATATCTAATAAAAATTAATGTGAGCATACCAGTTTGTAAATGTACAAATCCATCATAAACACACCATTCAAGTTACCATAATGTTTTAATAATCTTTTTTTGTACTTATTAAACACTCAAGATTTCATAACAGTTAAGAACATCCAATGTCCACCTTTGGGGGTTCCTTGGGCACTTAATTCACTCTAAATATTGATAAATAACAGTCATTTCATCTGGTTTTATTTTTCTCAACTATATTTTGAAGAGATTAAGTAACTGATGAGGTTTAAAAAAAAAGAATTCCAGCTTTAGCTGGTTTTGCTCAGTGGATAGAGCATCAGCCTGCAGACTAAAGGGTCCTGGGTTTAATTCTGGTCAAGAGCACATGCCCAGTTTCAGCTCCATCTCATCACTGGTGTTTCTATTTCTCTCTCCCTTCCTCCCTAAAATCAGTAAAAATATATTTAAGAAAAAAGAATTCCTGCTAAGAAATGCCAGTGGATTAGAAAATGGCCATTTTTCGATGCCTAATAAAATGCCTGCTGAGAACAATCCCCATGTCCTCTGACGCCACGGGCTTGAGAGGCCCAGGGCACCTCTGAAAGTTTACTGGGGCTCCTCCAGCCGGAGCCGTGGGGCAGGAGCGCCCGCAGCACAGAGGGCTGGGCAGGCAAACCCAGAGGAGCCTGGGCAATGCTCAGCTCCCCACATCCTGGTTTCCTCTGAGCCCGAGCCACAGCACAGAGAAGCAGCTGTGGTGTGTGTAGCCATAAAGATTGGCTCTTTGTCTGGGCTCCTGGCACAGCTCCCACAGCCCTGGGAATGTGCTGGTAGGAGTGTCCTTTTATCCAGAACAGACGCCGTTCACAGTCGGGTGCGGTGTGATGGTTCTGGTGGCCCTGGACAGTGTCTGGACGGCTGCTGCCCCCTGCCCTCTGGGGAGGAGCCGAGGCTGGAGATGAGTCAGTCACCACAAACTGCTGGTTTAACCAACCTTGTCTTTTCATGAAGACTCCATAAAAGCCCCTAAGCCATGGGTCTGAGGAGGTTCCAGTTCAGTGAACACGCGAGGTGGTGCTGGGTGTGTGGTGGGCCCGGACAGGACATGAAACCCCAGTACACCCTCCCTTCCCTGGCCGGTGCATTTCTTGCAAGTTGTGTCCTTTATAATAAACCGATGATCCTAAGAGCTTGACTGAGTTGTGTGACTTATTTCATGGAATTTTCTAACCCTCAAATGTGTTGTCTGCTGGCAAAAATGTGGGTCAGTGTGGCTCAGTGGGTAGAGCATCAGCCTGTGGACTGAAGGGTCCCAGGGTTCAATTCCAATAAAAGGCACATGCCCACGTTTTGAGCTCAATCCCCAGTGGGGGGCATGCAGGAGGGGACCAATCAATGATTCTCATCATTGATATTTCTCTCTCCCTCTGCCTTCCTCTCTGAAATCAGTAAAAATATACTTTAAAAACAAATTTTGAACTTTCCAGTTGTACATCAATGAGATGGAGGTCCATCCTATAGACAACCCTCTAAGCCCTTCGGAAAGAATGCTCATTCACGCCGAAGCCGGTTTGGCTCAGTGGACAGCGCGTCGGCCTGCGGACTGAAAGGTCCCTGGTTCGATTCCGGTCAAGGGCATGTACCTTGGCTGCGGGCACATCCCCGGTAGGAGGTGTGTAGAAGGCCGCTGATCAATTTGATTTCTAACTCTCCCTTCCTCTCTGAAATCAGTAAAAACAAACATTTTAAAGAGAAGTTTTGAGCTTTCCAGTTGCACATCAGTGAGATGCAGGGCCATCCTATGGAGTCTACAGAAGCCCTTAGGGAAGAAAGTTCAAAGTCAGACCGCCTGTCCCAGGCCAGCATCCCCGCGGGGCAGGAGGACCGCCCACACCGAGGCCGAGGCTGCGCCTGCGGGGCTGTTCTCCCCAAGAAACGCTCCACTCGGAGGACCCTGAGCTTCCTTCTTCTTTGGGGCGCTGTCCGGGCCCCGCCTGCTCGCGTTTCCGGTCGGTTGGCACCCTCCGCCCCGAGTCCTCCACCCCCGCAGAGGCCCGGCCCCAGGGCTCGAACCAGGGAGGCCGCGGGGGGCGTGAGCGGTCAGTGTGCACTCCGGGGCGCCAGCGGCGGAGGCGGAGGCGGGAGGCCGGCCGGCGCTGGCCCGCGCTGGGCTCGGCGGACCCGGCGGAACACGTGGCCGCACGGTCAGCTCGTCCCGCCCGTTCCGGGCGCCTAACGGCACATCGCGGGCGGGAACGCCACGACCTCCCGGTGCGGGACACGCAGGAGCCGAGACACGGCTCCGTCCCCCGAACTCGCGGGCCGGGCCGTGGGGGCGCCGGCGACCCGAGACGCCCGCAGCGAAGGGCTCAGAACCCGCAACCGCACACCTTCCCGGTGCGGGGCCCGGGCTCCGCAAGATGGCGGCCGCGCGCTCCCGGCAGCCCCCGCGCCCCCGCGCGTGCGCCCTCTGCCGACCCGCCCGGCGCGAGCGGAAGTCGCGTGACCCCGGAAGTGGCCCGCCGGGCGCGCGCGGGCGGGGCGCGGACGTTCGTCATTTCGTGCGGGAGGGAGTGCGAGCGGCGCGGTCGAGCCTCCGGTGAGCGCGGGGGCGGCGGCGCGGCGGCGGCGGGGCGGGGGCGGCGGCGGCGGGGCGGGGGCCGCGCCCTGGCCCGTCCCGCCCGCCGTGGGGTCTGCGCGGGGCGGGGCGGGGGCGGCGGTGACAGCGGGCGGCGGCCCGGGCGCAGGGCGGGTCCCGGGCGCAGGGGCCCCACGTGCGGGCGGGGGGCGCGGGCCCGCGCCGGGCGGGTGCCGGCGCCTTTTGTGGCCGCCGCTCGTGCCCCGCGGCGCCCCCGCCCCGCCGGTGCGCGCGGGCGGGGACCAGGCCCGTCGCCCCTCCCCTGGGGAAGGCGCGCCGGCCCCGGCGGTCCCGGCGCTTCCCACCCCACCCCGCGCCGCCCAGATTGCGGCCCGGCCTGCGGAAGTGCGGGGCGGCGGCGTCGCCTCCGTAGGATCCCGTCGCCTGCGGCCGCGCTCGGGGGCGTCAGGGCGTGAGCCTTGGGGACGGATCCGGAGGAAGCGGCGGGGGACCGGGAAGAGCGGGCGGCCCCGCAGGCTCGCGCGCCCGGAGAGCCAGGCAGCCCTTTGTGGGATCTGGTGACGCGGGCAGGTCCGGGCCGCCTCCCCCGGGCACCCCGGCTGGGCCCCACCACCGTGCACGGCCCGCCGGGCCGAGGGGCTTTCCGACGCCCCAGGATGGCGGGGAGGGCGGGAGGGATCCCAGGCTCCCGCCCTGCTCCCGCTGCAGCGCGTTCCCCGCTCCAGGTCTCCAGCCCTCCCCGCGGGCGGACACCTTGCGTTCCTCCGCCTTTCGAGACCCACCTGTGGGCTCCCCTGGCCGAGCATCGAGGCCTGGCTCTGGGCTCGGACGGGGTCCCAGGGGCATTCCTGGCCGGGGAGGCTCCCAAGCCAGCAGGCGGGGCCCTGCCGGCGAGGGCCTGGGCAGCTTAGAAGAGAAGCAGGACTCCGGGGCCTGGCCGGTGGGACCGGGGTCACTGCCGCTGCTCCCTGGAGCGCGGGTAGCCGGCTGCGGGTCCCCGTTAGTCCTGGGAGGCATTCTTAGGGGGGGCCCCCTCCGAGTGTCCCCGCGGGTCCCCTGAGGTTAGTGTGGCCGCTCTGGGCCCTGGGCTAAGCTCTGGCTCCTGCTCCAGAAGGCGCCCCTTCCCCTCGGGCACAGGGGCCCGGCCTGCAGAGGCCTCTTCACACAGCCCACCCTTGCAGCCAAGGGGCGGGAGGGGGCCGCGGTGGGTCCCCGCAGGCTGCCGCAGCGCCCCCGCCCACAGGTGCCCAGATCCAGCGAGAGGGGAGATGGCCGAGCAGGAGCCCACCGCCGAGCAGCTGGCGCAGATTGCGGCCGAGAACGAGGAGGACGAGCACTCGGTCAACTACAAGCCCCCGGCCCAAAAGAGCATCCAGGAGATCCAGGAGCTGGACAAGGACGACGAGAGCCTGCGCAAGTACAAGGAGGCCCTGCTGGGCCGCGTGGCCGTGTCCGCCGACCCCAACGTCCCCAACGTGGTGGTGACCCGCCTGACGCTCGTGTGCAGCACGGCCCCCGGCCCCCTGGAGCTGGACCTGACAGGTGGGCGGCGCCTCCGCTCCCGAGCGGCCTCCTGCGTTTTCTGGGGACCTGGCGCCCTCTGGTGGGGGATACAGGAAGTGCAGCCGAGGGCTGGGCTTTGAAGGCTTGGCCTTGAGGGGCCGGGGTCCCTCCGGGGGAGCGGGAGGGGCCCTCCCCGGTGGGAGGCGCTGAGGGCAGTGGCTGCCCCGCCCCAGCCTCCTAGAGCGCTGTCCTCCCACACAGGTGACCTGGAGAGCTTCAAGAAGCAGTCCTTTGTGCTGAAGGAGGGTGTGGAATATCGGATAAAGATCTCTTTCCGGGTAAGGCGGAGGCTCCGGAGGGGCCCGGCCAGGCTGGGCTGGAGAGCCCGGCTGAGCCCACTTGGTCCCTCCCTGCAGGTGAACCGCGAGATCGTGTCTGGCATGAAGTACATCCAGCACACATACCGGAAAGGCGTCAAGAGTGAGTGAGGGTGGGCGCCAGGCCGAGGGAGGCGGCCAGCGGCTGGGCTGGGGGGGGGGGGGGGACGGAGCACGGGGCCCAGGGGTCTGGGCTCCAGAGGGGTGAGGAGAGGCATCGCGGGGAGGGGAGGGGGGAGGAGAGGCCGAGTGGGGAGGGGAGGGGTGAGGAGAGGCCGAGTGGGGAGGGGAGGGGTGAGGAGAGGCATCGCGGGGAGGGGAGGGGTGAGGAGAGGCATCGCGGGGAGGGGAGGGGTGAGGAGAGGCAGCGTGGGGAGGGGCGGGGTGAGGAGAGGCCGCGTGGGGAGGGGAGGGGTGAGGAGAGGCAGCGCGGGGAGGGGAGGGGAAGGGTGAGGAGAGGCAGCGTGGGGAGGGGAGGGGTGAGGAGAGGCCGAGTGTGCCCTGACCGCGCTCCCCCTGCCCCGCAGTCGACAAGACTGACTACATGGTGGGCAGCTACGGGCCCCGGGCCGAGGAGTACGAGTTCCTGACGCCCATGGAGGAGGCGCCCAAGGGCATGCTGGCCCGCGGCAGCTACAACATCAGGTCCCGCTTCACGGACGACGACAAGACTGACCACCTGTCCTGGGAGTGGAACCTCACCATCAAGAAGGAGTGGAAGGACTGAGCCCGCCCGGGAGACGGGCAGGGCGGACGGAGGGAGGGACGTGCGCGCCCCCCACCCCACCCCCCCCCCATACCAAAGTGCTGGCAGGGCCCTGCCCAGGCTGCCACATCCCCTCCACCTCCTGCCACCTCAGCCCCGCCTCGTGTGTCTAGTGTCCCGCTGCTTCCACCTGTGCGGTGGGTGGGGCTGCAGCTCAGGCCCCTCCCCTCGGGTCCCTCCCGGGTCCCCACCCGTCCTCACGTCCTCACCCCGGAGGCCCTGGCGTTCCCAAGGCAGTGGGAGCTTGGTCCCGGGCCATGTCGGTTGTCTGTCTGCCCCTCGGGTGGGGTGGGGTGGGGTGGGGTGCACGATGCAGGGCCTTGGGCCGGCCGTCCTTCCAGCTTCGCTCCTCCCTGGTCAGTTCACCCATTGCTGTCTGTAACCGTCTAACCATGATGCCTTAACATGTGGAACGTGTGCTGTGGGGCCGTCACTAACCTCTAACCCTGTGTCTGCATGAGCATGTGGTCTCCCAGTCCTGCCGCCCCATCTCAGTCCCCGTGGCTGGAAGGTGTGGACACGCTGCTGCTCCCCCAGCCAGGGCCTGGCCAGCGCCCTCTAACCCTTTCCCCTCCCTTCCCCCTCCCGCCAGGGCTGAGGGGCAGCTCCCGGGCCTGGGAAAAGCCAAATTGCCAAAACTGAAGTCGCCTCCGGCACCATCTGAGAGGCCAGTGTCCTTACGCCTCTCCCTCTGTCCCAGTGGCAGCACCACCCAGCCCACGGTCCACGGAGCCCTCGGACAAAGCCAGGGCCCAGCCTCACTCGCCCCTGGGCCCCGGCCTGGAGGGCGTGGCTGGCCTGTCAGTATTTATTGCCTCCATATGTGCCGTCCTCTGGGCCCGCTGGCCTGCCCCTCTGCCCCCAGGCTCCATGCCACCACCCCGGCCCCCCCGGACTCAGCCAGGACAACTGTGGGACCAAGCGTGCACAGTCGGAGCTGTCCCCTGTGCCACTCCGAGGTCAGGCCCGGCTGGAACGCACAGGAGCCTGTCCCTGCTTCTCTGACCGGGAAATAAACTCCCCTGAGGAACCTGTGTCTGCTGCCTGAATCTCGGGAAAGAGGGCCAGGTGTGGCTGCCACTGCCCCGCCCTGACTGAAGGCCTGAAAGCCCTGCCTCGCCCTTGGCAGAGGTGCCCGTGGGCGGGTCAGACTTGGAAACTCCCGGGATGGGGCGGGCAGGCAGGCAGGCTGTGGTTCAGTGACTTGCCCTTGAGCCCCTGACACCCACTCCTGGCCTCAGCGGAAATGCCCCAACCCCAGAGAGGAAGGAGCTGCCCATGGGGCAGTACATGGAACCAAGGGTGACTGGGCCCAGGGGGTGTGGGGGGCCTGAGGCTGCAGTGCCTGGGGGGGGCAGGGCCAGGGCTCCAAAGGTGGATTGGTAGGGTGGAGCCGTCCCGGGGAGCCTTCAAGGGCCACCGGTAACACGCACACCTGGCCCTGGATGGGAAAGGGCGGTGGGTAACCCAAGCTCCAGACGGGGTCAATTCCACGCACCCCTTCTGCCCGCTGAGCCCCTTAAAATGGTTGTGGCCCGGCAGGCTCTGCTCCGAGGCTGAGCACGGACTTATGAACCAGGAGGTTTCAGTACATGCTCAGGTTGCGGGCTCCATCCCCAGTAGGGGGCGTGCAGGAGGCAGTGCAGCAGTGATACTCACTGATGCTTCCATCTTCCCCTCTGAAGTCAATAAAAACTTTTTTTTTTTTCTAAGTGGCTGTGTCCCAGGCTGGGCAGGAGCTGCTGCTTGCTGGCCATGCCCTCTCCGCCTGCCACTCTCCAGAGCTCAGCAGGAGCCCTGCCAGCTGGGTGGCCAGGAAATGCCCTCCTGCCCCACAGGACAGCGACCACAGGTCCTGGCCAGGACGGCTCCCGAGGGCTGGCCCCTCCTCCCCTCCCTACAGGACCCTGTGGTTCCCCGGGGGGCTGGGGGACAAAGGATGCTCCCCGCTTTGCCGGCTCAGGCAGCACCAGAGCAGCCCAGGAAGCAGCCTGGCCCCGGGCTCTGCATTCCATGGGCAAAGGCCCTCCGTGTCCTCTCGCAGCACCGGCCGCCCCGGGACAGGCTTGGGTGGGGGAGGCAGGGGGCTGGCAGAGCCAGGCCTTTCCCTCTAACGTCAGACGCAGGCACCTGGGAGCCAGGAGGCCGCCCCTGGAGAGGCCGCTGGGGGCGGCGGCAACACCAGGGCAGCCCGTGGGGCGGCGGCTCGGGGCGCGGGCCCGTGAGGCCTGTTTCCTCAGCCCAGAGGCCTGTTTTCGAGCTCGCATTTTCCCAGCTGCACCTGTGACCTCAGACCCTGAGTGCCAAGTTGTACAGGCACACCGCCAGCAGCCAGGACTTTGTCCTGGCTCCGCCCCGGCGAAAGGTCTCGCGAGGTGGCACCGACGGAATCTGCATGACGTGTCTCGGTCCCAAGTCTAACCTGATCTTTCTGGGTGCACCCTGAACCCGTCCACCTGGTGCTCCTGGGCCTGGCCGCCTCCCCAGCCAGCCTGTGGTCCCCCTCCCCCGGCCATCCTCCAAGCTCCTGCCTCCTCGCCCACCCCATTGGGCCCTCCTTCCCCACAGGTCAGTGACAGCAGTCACCAGAGCCGGACCCTGGGTGAGACCAATCCCCAGTCACTGTGACAAAAATCTCCAGTCCCCAGCACTGGCCACCCTGCCGTGATGCCGTATCAGTCCACCAGGCCACACTGACCACAGCACCCGCTTCCCGGCTCTGCTCCCACCTGTGCCCTCACCGTGACACAGCCCTGCATCCCCACTGCTGCTCACCCTGGTGTCCACCAGCCTGCTGTTCACCCCTCACCCCTCGCACCCCAACCCGGCTGCGGTGGGAAGGGATGTGTATTCTGAGGACTGTTTTGAAGAGGAGCATTTATCACAACATTGAGCCGTTCAAGAGTTCAATCCATATTTATTTATTATTTTTTAATATATTTTATTGATTTTTTACAGAGAGGAAGGGTGAGGGATAGAGAGCTAGTAGAAACATCGATAAGAGAGAACATCGACCAGCTGCCTCTTGCACAGGGTGAAATTGTTTCTATTTCTCCCTCTCTGAAATAAAATAAAAATAGCCCAAGCCAGTTTGGCTCAGTGGATAGAGCGTCCGTCTGCGGACTGAAAGGTCCCGGGTTCAATCCGGTCAAGGTTTGGTTGCGGGCACATCCCCAGTAGGAGGTGTGCAAGAGAGGCAGCACACCTCCTACTGGGGATGATTCTCTCATCAATGTTTCTGAATCTCTATCCCTTTTTCTTCCTCTCTCTGAAAAATCAATAAAATATTTTTAAAAAAAATAAAATAAAAATGCATTAAGCAAACAAGAAACCACCCCATGACCCAGAGCCCCAGTCAGGCTGTTTTCCCAGGCCTGGGACGGGCTGCAGCCACCTGGGCTATGGAACAGAGGCCGTCACACCTGCCTCAAGGTGAGCTCCTCGGCTGCAGCCACAGAGGCTGACTCAGCTGGAGCGGGTTCGACGTAGCCAGCGGCCTGACCCTCACCTGGCCGCTCCCCCTGGGTCCCAATGTCTCCTTTGGAAACACTTCACTGGGGGCTCTGGGGCTACCTCCCACCGTCACCAACGAACACACATGGGTCGCCAATGCCTTCACTCTGTCCCCCTCAGCTGAAGAGAGCCCCCTCACTGAAGCATCTGCGCTCGCAGGTGCCGCCACTTAGATGCTTCAGGCCTGGGGCTTCAGTCTAGATGGGATGCAAATGTCCTTCGTCTCAGGTCCCCAAATGAGGTCAGAAAAACAGGGTCACAGCAATGACAGGAAACCTGGGAATGAGGGCGCTGCCACGGTCAGTCCCCACCAGGCCCCAGAGCAGAGGGCAGTGAACTGGGGTGGAGGCACCCGCTCGATGCAGGAAGTTCCCGCTCCGGTACAGTCACCCCGAGAAGCAGGCAGAACCCTAGCGGGTACAGCCACCTCGGCCTGACCCTTGCTCCAGTGGAAGTGGGGGAGGTGCAGGGAGGACCTGGCCCTGACCTCGGGGAGCAGCCATTCTTCCAGATGAGAAAACAGGCCTGGGGAGCAGCCTGCCTTGGGGAGCAACAGATTAACAAACGCAAGCTCCCGAGAAGCACGAGGCTCCTTCGGCTTCCCCATTTCTGAAATCAGGATGTTGGTCGACGTGTACATTGGATGTGGGAGTGTTTCCCCTTTTCCTGCCAAGTTCCTAAATGGTGATGAGTCTTAAAATCCAGCGGTGGCCGCGGCTCACAAACAAGGAAGCGACTACAAATAAAGGGGAGCGCTTCCGGGGGAGGGGGTGAGGGGGAGTGGGGCGGCGGGTCCTGCTACACCCAGCCATGTGCCACGTTAAACACCAATGAATGTCAACGTAAATGTGTGTTTGGCTCCAAACACCCCAACCCGTCAGACGGAGGGTGAAGGAACACCCTCTCCCCCATGTCCCGGGTCTGGTGTTCCACTCCGGCCGCCGCGGGCGGGCAGCCTCGGGGGCAGCGGCGAAGGGAGCTGCGTGGGGCCGGGTTTTACGGCGGCTTCGCGGCGTCCGGGGTGCACGTGACGGCGGGGCAGCTCCGGGGGACCTGGCGCCGGGGGAGGGGGCTCCTCCAGGCCCGCGGCCGGCTCCAGCCCCGGCGCCCCGTCTGCGGGGGCCCTGGCCCGGTTCCTCGTTTCTGCACTTTCAGGTGCAGCCGCCCGGCCTCCCCTTCCTCCGCCCACTCCGCGCTGGTGCCTGAGGCGCTCGGCTCCCGGGACCGGATCCCGCAGCAGCCGAAGCCGAGCCCCTCGCCGCCAAGCCCAGACGCCCCTCGTAGGCGGCGCACGGGCTGCACGCGCGCCGGAAGTTGCGTCACCCAGCTTCCGGCCCGACGAGCTGGGGGGGCGGGATCAGTGACGGACACGCGATCCAGTAAGAAAGCAACACGAGGGGTTTCGGAGGCCCCGGCGCAGCTCCGCCCCTCGGCGGGCGGGGGACCCCACCCACTGCCACGTTCGACGGCGGAACGCGAGGGGTGCGCGCACCTCCCGGCCAATCAGGAGCCGCAGATCCCGGGGCTCCGCAGGTGTCAGCCATTCCAGAACCCGAGAAAGTGGTGGGGAAAGCCACCAGTCATGAGTCGAGGCGGAGAAAGTTCTCCGCCAGGAGCCAATCAGGGGCCGGGGCAGAGTGCGAGCGCGAGCTCCTCGGCCAATCCCGGGCGGCGGCGAAGGGCTCCTCTGGGGCTCTTCCGAATCTGGGGCCGGAGAGGGTGTTGGCGTCCAATCGGAGCGCGGCAGGGGCGGGCCCCGGAGCCGGCCGGCCAATAGAGGGTGGGCCCGGGCGGGCACGCGCGCGCGGCGGCCAGGTTTATAAGGACGAGGCGGGCGGCGCGCGCTCTCGTGGCCTCGCTGTCCGGCGGCGCCAACCGAAGCGCTGTCCCTGCTGCCGACATGCTGCGCCGCGCTCTGCTCCGCCTGGCCCTGGCCCTGGCCGTGCTGGCCCGCGCGGGCGCTGCGCCCGAGGAGGAGGACCACGTCCTGGTGCTCAACAAGGGCAACTTCGAGGAGGCGCTGGCGGCCCACAAGTACCTGCTGGTGGAGTTCTGTGAGTGCCTCCCGGCCTGCCGCGGGGCGGGGAGGGGACGGAGCTGGTGGCTCGCAGGGCGGCTGGGGGGGCGGATAGAGGGCCGGGCACCCGTCCCCGACCTCCCTCCCCGCCTCCCTGCACCTCGCAGCGGGGTGGGTCCTTGGGGCCAGGAGCGTTGTGGACACAGACCCCAGCCCCTCGGGAGGCTCAGCCTGGGCTGAAGCAGCCCCGGAGCTGCGGCCCAGGTCCCTCCCCGCGCGCCGGTGCCCCGGGGACTCCCTCCCGCCCCGGCCGGTCGCGGGCTGAGAGCCAGGACCGCTTGCGTACCTGACATCTACCTCCATGGCAGGATCCCTCTCTTGTTTTTAAGAAAAACAGGCTGGGCCGCGGGAGGTGCCTCACATACAAAGCACTCAGGGTCCAGCCCCCCCCACGTACCTGCTCCCCGGGATTTTAGAAAATGCAAAGGGATCCCAGCCCCGGTCCTGCCCGCACCCCCGCCAGCCGTTGACAGCTCTCACCGGGACCTGAACCTGGTGCTTTGGGTGTCCACGCCCCGACTGTCTGGGCTGGAGACCTCAGGCCCCACACAGCTGCTAGCCTTGACTCGGAGAGAACCCGCTGTATAAAGACCCAGTTGCAAATCTGAGGCTCGGGCAGGTGTGCCCAGCTGTGCATCACAGCACGTTCGAGTGATGAGGTCTCCATGCGGGGCACTGGCTTCTTAGCTTCTCCGCCTTCCTGGGGAAGTCGCAGGGCAGGCCTGCCCACCTGGTGCCCTCCTGCGGGCGATGGGAAGTCGCTGGCCGTTGGAACCGTTGGTCTTCCCGTGCCCCGCGGGGACAGAGCAGAGGGGGGTGGCGGTGGTTTCTCATTCGTGGCCTCTGCCCCCGTATTGCCCAAGAGGACCACGCTATCAGCCCAGCCTAGTAGCTCAGGGTTATCTCCCTGAGCTGATAAGATACCCGGAGGGAGTGCCCTGGAGAGGGAGCCAGGGAGCGGTCCAGTGCTCTTCAGCCTCTTGCTTTCCTTCCAGACGCCCCCTGGTGTGGCCACTGCAAGGCCCTGGCCCCCGAGTATGCCAAAGCGGCCGGGAAGCTGAAGGCCGAAGGCTCCGAGATCAGACTGGCCAAGGTGGACGCCACGGAGGAGTCGGACCTGGCCCAGCAGTATGGCGTCCGCGGCTACCCCACCATCAAGTTCTTCAAGAACGGAGACACGGCTGCCCCCAAAGAGTACACAGGTGGGCCGGCCGCCCTCGCTGCCCAGCGGGATCCGCAGCCGTCCTGGGAAATCGCTGGGGGGGGGGTGTTCAGGAACTGGAGGGAGCCTGGCCTTGGACCTGCTCTCCGCCTGGTTCTAGTTCAGGAACTCCCGTCTGTGAAGGACCTCCCAGGTGGAAGGGGCGTCCTCGGGGTTGGACGGCAGGGAAGAGGGAGCTGCAGCGGCCGGTGCTAGGGGTCTTCCTGGGAGGCTGAGTCACAGCTGTCGGGCAGAACTCGAATTCAAGCCCGTCGCCTCAGCCGCTGCTCCTGGCGCAGGCTGCTCGGTGGGCTGGGCCGCGACCGGGCAGCGCCTGTGATGAAAGAGGCTGTCACCCAGAGAACCGGTTCCGTGGCTCCGCCGAGCCCTGCAGCGGCCGCCTGTGAATCTGACACCAGCTCCAGTCCTGCCTGCTGGTCCCGGGGTCACTTTGGAGCAGGAAGTGCCTTGTCCGGTCCAGCCCCCTGCCCTCCGAACCCTGGGCTTGTGGGCGGGGCCGCCCGTCCCACCTGTGACCGGAAAGCTGATCCTTGTTGGGAGTTTAACAGGTGTCCCCTGTTCTCCTGGTTGGCCTCCACCAACCCCGGGTCCTTTATTTAAAAAAAAAAAAAAAAAGTATTTTATTGACTTTGTACATAGAGGAAGGGAGAGAGATAGAGAGTAAGAAACATCGATGAGAGAGTCATCGATCAGCCGCCTCTTGCACCCCCCCCACTGGGGATATGTCCTTGACCGAATCGAACCCGGGACCTTTCAATCCCCAAGTCGATGCTCTGTCCATTGAGCCAAACTGGTTTCGGCTGGCCCTGGGTCCTTTAAAGGTAAGGTTCCTGCTGGGCCAGAGGGTCAGAGCCTGTGAGGGGACTGCGTCCTGAACTCAGGGTCAGGACCAGGCTCTTCCTTTTCACTCTGCATTGGCCCCCGGGGACAGCCAGCCTGCTGGTCCAGGGCTGTGAGGGGTCAGGGAGCCAAGGTGGGCTCAGCCCGTTCTTACAGGGAAACTGGCATCGAGCTGACTTTAAGAAAAACCCTAGTGCATCTCTAATTTTTAAAAAAATATTTTCATTGGATTTTTACAGAGAGGAAGGGAGAGATAAATAGTTAGAAACATCGGTCAGCTGCCTCCTGCACACCCCGCCCACAAACAAGGTCCATGCCCTTGACTGGAATCGAACCTGGGACCCTTCAGTCTGCAGGCTGACGCCCTATCCACAGAGCAACACCGGTCAGGGCTGCATCTCTAAGACAAAGCCTGGCGTGAGGCTGCTGAGGGGAAAGTGTGTTTAATGAATGCAAACGTCAAGGGAAATTTAGGAAATGCAAAGGGAGGTAGCCACTGCCGGGAAGCACAGTGCGGCTCCCACAGGCAGAGCCGCCAGGGCCCGGGGCTCGCACAGGGGCGGACACGGTGCCTTGCTGTGGGAGGGGCTGTGCCGGCGGCCCCTGCATGTGTGTGTGTCCTGCAGCCGGCAGAGAAGCTGACGACATCGTGAACTGGCTGAAGAAGCGCACGGGCCCGGCGGCCACCACGCTGCCGGACGGCGCCGCCGCGGAGGCCCTGGTGGAGTCCAGCGAGGTGGCCGTCATCGGCTTCTTCAAGGTGCGGATGGGGGTCGTCGGCGCCTGTCCCTGGCGGCTGGAGGGGCCTGGGCGCTGCGGCCTGGGCTGCTGCCCGGGCGGGTCCGTGTGGGCCCGGGGCCACCGCTGGTTCTCCTGTCCAGGACGCGGAGTCGGACGGGGCCAAGCAGTTCCTGCTGGCGGCGGAGGCCGTGGACGACGTGCCCTTCGGGATCACGTCCAGTGGCGACGTCTTCTCCAAGTACAAGCTGGACAGGGACGGCGTCGTGCTCTTCAAGAAGGTGAGCGCCGGGCTCTGCCGTGGCAATGGCCGGGCTCTGCCTGTGGTGAGGGCCGCTCGGCTCTGCCCGCGGCGAGGGCCGGGCTCTGCCCGCGGCTGCTGCTCCCGAGAACCTTCCCGGAGCCGCTGGCCTGTGCCTGCTCGGTGACAGCCCGGCGGTCCTGGCCTGTGCCCGCTCGGTGACAGCCGGCGGCCCGCAGTCCGAGGCGGAGTTGCCGCCGGTCAGCGTTGTGGCTGCGGGAGACACAGTAGCCAGTGGGCAGTGCCCACCTGAGCTGCTGAGCCCATTGCACCATCCCGGGTGCAACACTGTTTCCACCTCTAGAACCTCTTCCACCCGGAAGGACTCCGGGTTAGCTTTTGGGGAGCGTGTTCCCCACCTGTGGGCATAGCCGGCTCCCATGGCCTCGTCCTGCTGCCCCTCCTGTTGGTGACGGGCCCCTGGTGTTGGGGCCACTGCTGGGACACAGCGGGTCCATGTCTGCGAGTGACCGACGTGGCAAGGCAGTCTTGGTCTTTGCCTTTCAGCCAGGATGGTGGACAGGGCCAGCCCAGCACCCCTGGCCCTGGAACAGGACTGGGCCTGGACTGGGGTGGGGAGAGCACGGGGGGGCCAGCCGGAGAGGACGCAGGGTGAGGCTTTGGGGGCTCTGGCCCCTTCCTGGGCAGACTCAGGCCTTAGCCCTGTCTCCCTGGCGGAGCCGCGTGTCTCCTGAGGGAGCCAGCCGATCGGTCCGTTGTCATCGCAAACCTGCCCAGATGTTGTGATGAGCATCTGGTCAGGAGAGACTCCGTGGTGGGGAGCTGAGTGGATGTGAGCCTGCCTGTCTCGTCCGCACGTTCAGGTGGAGAGTTGCTGTGAGGCTGGGAGACCAGCCCCAGTCGTTCTTTTCTGTCCTTTTTGTTTGATTATTTTCTAAATCCTCACCCGAGGATATTTTTCCATTGGTTATTAGAGCTGAAGAGGGAGGGAAAGACAGAGAAACCTCGATGTGAAAGAAGCACATCGATTGGTTGCCTCTTGCACTAGCCCTGACCATGGCCCGGGCTAGGGAGGAGCCTGCCACTGAGATACGTGCTCTTGACCGGAATCGAACCCTGGACGCTGTGGTCCACAGGCTGATGCTCTACCCACTGAGCCACACCAGCAAGGGCTCTTTCCCATCCCTCTTGACCTCAGGGCATCACTCTCACACCGGTTCCAGGGTTTAGGCGATTCTGTATCGAGGTTAGAGTTGCCGTTTTTCTGCAAAACTCGGTGCACAGCTGCACCCGGGGGTCTGCTCTCGGCACAGTGTGTCCGGCAGCCAGTCAGGAGCCTGGGGGGTCGGGAGGGTCTCACCCGCAGCCAGGAGAGGCCCAGAGCCCCTCCGGTCCCCCTGCCCGGCCCATCGTCCCTGCTTTCTGGGCCTCCGTTCACCCCAGGTCCTCACGTGGCCGGTCTTCCAGTCCCGGGACCCCCTGCTGAGCCAGCGGCTTTCAGCGGGACGGGACGGGCGACGGGAACACAGAGGCCCCGGTGCCCTCGTGAGTCCGCCGGTCACTGTCACGTGGACCATGGTCTGGGCTGTGCCTTCGTTCTCCCTGCCGTTTGCTCCTGTCTCTGTGGAAGCTGGCGCTGGGGGTGGGCACGCCGCCCCTCCACCCTCTGTGGGTCTGGCCTTTGGGGTGCTGGCCTGCAGCTGCCCCACCAGACGAGGCTGTTCCTGAAGTAGACGTGAACAGAGTGATGTGGCCAGGTCACCGAAAAGACTGTCAGGTGGCCCCTGACATTGGCCTGTTGGGCAGACAATGCCCGCTGCCCAGAGCGGCCAGGAGGGTGCCTGTTTGCCTCCAATTGGGCCTCGACTCTGCCCGGGGCGAGGACTGGCCTGCTGTGTGCCTGATGGGCCCGTGCTGCGAGCTGCTCCTGTTTGCACAGCGGGTCCGGCCTCGGCTTCCTGCCTGTTTACTTCCCCCCTTTGTCCTCCTCGGGTGCAGTTTTGGGGAAGGGAGAGCCGGCTTCAGCCTCAAGCCTCGGCACTGGGCGTGGGAGCGGGGCTAGGCCTGGCCTGTGCCCCTGGCGCCTGCCTCCCCCTTGTGGCCAGCCTTGGGGGTGGACGCGCCGCCTGCTTTTCTGGAGGCACTTGGAGGAAGTGTGAGGACAGGAGCAGCATGAGAGGCCGGGGGTCCTCCCCGTGGCTGAGAGCTCAGGGTGGCGCTGCACGCCACCGCCCACCGCCCCGCCCCAGCCGGACGCGCAGGCACAGGCAGGCGGGGCGCCCGGACCTGTGGGGCGTTAGTTCTCAGTGTTCAGTGCGGAGGCCGTGACTTAGGTTCCCTCTGACACCTCCTGGACGGGCTGGTTTGCCTTCGGGCTGCGGTGCCTCAGGTCCTGCCCCCTCCCCCCAAGGAAGAGATCCCTGAGCCGTGCTGACCCCTGGCTGAGCGGCGGCGGTCAGGGGGTGCCCGGGTCCAGCCCCCGGTGCGGCTTCCCGGGAGCCCACGAGCGTCCCTGCCCCTCCCCGGGCTGGCGCGTGGAGCTGTGCTGGCTGGGAGCGGGTGTGCGTGGAGCCTCGGCTCAGGCCTCCTCTGTCCACAGTTCGACGAAGGCCGGAACGACTTCGAGGGGGAGGTCACCAAGGAGAAGCTGCTGGACTTCATCAAGCACAACCAGCTGCCGCTGGTCATCGAGTTCACCGAGCAGGTGCGGCTCCCGCCCGGCCCCACGGAGAGTCCCCCCGATGCCCGGCGTCGGCTGCTGGGGCAGTCCCGTGCCAGCGCCGAGCTGGGGCTGAGGCCCGCTAACTGTGTTTGTGACAGACGGCCCCCAAGATCTTCGGGGGCGAGATCAAGACGCACATCCTGCTGTTCCTGCCCAAGAGCGTGAGCGACTACGAGGGCAAGCTGAGCAACTTCAAGAAAGCCGCCCAGGGCTTCAAGGGCAAGGTGCGCCCCGAGAGGCAGGCCTGGGGGGGGGGCCGCACCCACGTCCCTGCCCCGCTCACGGTGCCTTTTCCCCCAGATCCTGTTCATCTTCATCGACAGCGACCACACCGACAACCAGCGCATCCTCGAGTTCTTCGGCCTCAAGAAGGAGGAGTGCCCGGCCGTGCGCCTCATCACGCTGGAGGAGGAGATGACCAAGTACAAGCCTGAGTCGGACGAGCTGACGGCGGAGAAGATCACCGACTTCTGCCACCGCTTCCTGGAGGGCAAGATCAAGGTGGGCGCGGGTCCTGAGGGCGGCCGTTCCTGTCCCCCTGCGTGGGAGCGGCCCTCGTGGGCGCAGAGACCCTGACCCCCCGCCCCCTCCAGCCTCACCTGATGAGCCAGGAGCTGCCCGAGGACTGGGACAAGCAGCCGGTGAAGGTGCTGGTGGGGAGGAACTTCGAGGAGGTGGCGTTCGACGAGAAGAAGAACGTGTTCGTGGAGTTCTGTGAGTGCAGCCTCCGGGCGGGGCTCCCTGAGGGGGGGGCTGGGGCGTGGCCGCCGGGCCCAGCAGGACTCAGGGCTGTGGCTTCCAGATGCCCCGTGGTGTGGTCACTGCAAGCAGCTCGCGCCCATCTGGGACAAGCTGGGGGAGACGTACAAGGACCATGAGAACATCGTCATCGCCAAGATGGACTCGACGGCCAACGAGGTGGAGGCGGTCAAAGTGCACAGCTTCCCGACGCTCAAGTTCTTCCCAGCCAGCGCAGACCGGACGGTGCGCCGCGGGCAGGCGGGCGGGCAGCGGGGGCCCGGGAAAAGCTCGGCCGACAGGGAGGGGACCCCGCCCCCAGGGTCTGCTTCTCACCCCCACCCCGTTGCAGGTCATTGACTACAACGGGGAGCGGACGCTGGAGGGCTTTAAGAAGTTCCTGGAGAGCGGCGGCCAGGACGGGGCCGGGGACGACGACGTGAGTGTCCCCTGCAGAGCTCAGGCCACGGCCTGCGTCCACAGGCCACGGGCTTCCTGGCTGGTGCTGGTGGTGTGCAGGGGCCGGGCCGGCTTCCCTCGCAGCCGGAACCAGCACCAGCACCAGCACGGGCCGGGGCGCTCGGAATGCCGGCTTGCTTATGAAGTCTGCCCGCTTGTACGGGGTCCCTGCTGGTGGGGACTCCAGAGGGTTTCCCCGGCCCGTTAGCCAAGGTGCCCTGTGCCAGCCGTGCTCCACCATGCAGTGGGGGCACCAGAGCTGGTCCCGGGCCGGAGGCTGCTGATGGGCAGGGAGAGGGGGCGTGGTCAGGCCGGGGAAGTGGGTGGGCACTGCCCGGCAAACCCTGAGGCTGGAGGGGGGCACTGCGCCAGCGGCCTGCTGGGTCCTCCGAGCTGGGCGGGACCCTGCTCCGCAGAGGGCAGGTGCCGCCGGCCTGAGCCTTCACCTCCCGGGCCTCCCCCCCCCCAGGACCTGGAGGATCTGGAGGAGGCGGAGGAGCCGGACCTGGAGGAGGACGACGACCAGAAAGCTGTGAAGGACGAGCTGTGAGGGAGCAGCCGGACCGCCGCCTCGCTGCTGCAGAGCCGGCCGCCGGCTGCACCCGGGACTGAGCACCTCGGAAATGCAGGGAACCTCCGAAGCCACACTCACGCTGACACTCGTGTACATTCAGCCCGTCTTCTGCTTCATCTCGGGAAGGGCTTGTCTCCAGGCCAGCCTCGGGGCCTTTTTAATTTGTGATGTACTTTTTTGTACACGGTTTTGACCTGAGCGCTCGCTAAAATGTTTTGGAATCTCACGCTGGCAATGTCAGCTGCCTGTCAGGATCTATGCCATCACTAGCACGGTCCGTCTGTGGGATTTTAGGCATTTTGGGACGGCGGGTTCAGTCCCACCTCGGCCGGGCTGCCCTGGAGACGGGTGTCCCCTGTGGGGGGCAGGCTGGTGGCCTCACCTGGCAGTGGTGCGGGGACTGAGATTCCCATGCTGCCTGGTCAACGGAGACGTCAGGTCTCTCGCAGGGACTCCCCAAGACAGGGCGGTGGGCACCCTGGGCCAGCACAGACCCCCACACCCACCCACCCACCCACCCAGACCAGCACCCAGCTGGTCTGACTGGCCTGGCCCGCGCTGCCCAGACCTGGCCTCCGTTCCCGCGGGCACAGTGCGAAAGCACCCGTTCCAGACGTTTCTACCACATTGGAGCTGAACACATTGGCCAAATAAAGTTGAAATTTTACCGCCTGCCTCTGTGCACGACTTCCAGACCATGGGACAGGGGTGGATCCTGGCGGGAGAGAAGGAGGGCTTGGGGCCACGGGCCCCTCTCAGGGCTCATGCAGGCATAGCACAGCCCCCGTCCTCACATCAGTCTCAGGTACAAAGCCTCAGCCACGCAAGTCCCAGGCGGAGGGTGGGGTGTGGCCAGCGCTCCCAGGGCATCCGTGGTCTGTGGGCCCGGACAAGACACGTGGGTCTGCAGGTGGTGAGGAGGCGTTGGGCCTCATGGGGCCGGATGACAGCCCTGCCCACTGCTAGGAAGCCATGACTCCCAGGAGCTCAGCAGATGGAGTTGTCTGCTGCCTTGGGCCAAGGGCCCTTCTGAGCCGGGTCAGGGGGACCTTAGGCCTGCGGTGCCTGCCTGGGTTCAGCTGGGCATCCTTGACCCCTGACCCAGAGCCCAGCAAAGGCCCCCCACTCCTTGGAGGGGGAATGCAGGTCCAGGGCAATAACGAACCCACGGGGTCCACCCAAGGCTCTGCCTCCACTTGCTCTGAGTGGGAAGCGTGCACATTCCGACCCCCCGTCCCTGCTCCAGGCCGGGCAGATGCCGGCGTCGTAGCCGCCGACGGGACTTGCCGTAAATGTGGTTCTCCCGGTCACGGCGCGTGGGAAGTCCGTGGTCAAGTCCCCCACGCACCCTCTCACCCAGCAGGAGACCCTGTGCCTGCCCTGGGTGTGGATGCGGCTGCTGGCACCACAGGGCTGCTCCGGCCGCCGACCAGAGCGAGTGCAGGGCAGAGTGGCCGGGGGGCGCTCTGGCGGCTCTGGGTGGCCAGCCTGTCCCAGCACCGGGTCTGGGCCGCCCCTCCATCCAGCTCATCGGCCGGTGTCCTGTGCCAGGGCTGCTGTCCAGCCAGTCTGCCCAGTGTTTCACGTGGTGCCCGTCCTGCCAACAGGCCTCCCTGGCGGGGGCCGCACCCTGGGGAGAGGTCGCCCTGAAGGCAGCTCTGCCCCCCAGAACCCGAGCAGTTCGGCAGCACCAGGGCTCCGGGCTCAGCCACAGGTGGGCTGTGCTCAGGGCTGCGCTCCTGCCCGCTGACCCTGCCGCGCCCCTGGGACCGGCCCAGAGGCAGCAGCCCTGCCATCACCATCACTGCCATCACCATCATGTGCGCAGGCGGCCACCAACCCTACCCATCCCCTCTGCAGACAGCTGGGCTGCATTGCTGAGGAGGCGAGTGGAGCCCAAGGCCTGGCAGGGCCCACGGGCTGGCAGGCGACTCCCCAGGACAGTTAGGCTTAACAGCCTGGACGCCCCAATCTCTCCCCCCTTCCCCCCTCCCTCCCTCTCCATCTCCTCTCTCCAGGTGATAAGACGCCACTGCCAGGTGTGGCTCAGTGGTTGAGTGTTGACTTAGGGACCGGGAGGTCATGGTTTGATTCCTGGTCAGGGTTCAAGGCCGGGTTGTGAACTCCATCCCCATGCAGCTGACTCACAATTCTTTCTCACCTTGATGTTTCCATTTGTCCCTCTCCCTCTCTCAAATCAATAAAGATAGATTTTTAAAAAAGAAAAATAAAACTTTTTTTTAAAATATATTTTATTGATTTTTCTACAGAGAGGAAGAGAGAGGGATAGAAAGCTAGAAACATCGATGAGAGAGACATCGTTCAGCTGCCTCTTGCACACCCCCTACTGGGGATATGCCCGCAACCAAGGTACATGCCCTTGACCAGAATCGAACCCGGGACCCTTCAATATATTTTATTGATTTTTTTACAGAGAGGAAGAGAGAGGGATAGAGAGTTAGAAACATCGATGAGAGAGAATCATCAATCAGCTGCCTCTTGCACACTCCCCACTGGGGACGTGCCCGCAACCAAGGTACATGCCCTTGTCCAGAATCGAACTTGGGACCTTTCAGTCCACAGGCCGATGCTCTATCCATGGAGCCAAACCGGTCTCGGCAAAACTTTTATTTTAAAGAAGGAAGTAGCCACTGGCCTGGAACCCAGACCCGCAGCTGCTGGGGTTGCAGGCCTCTGGCCTCTGGCCTCAGCGGCCGCTGGAGGGAGACGCCTGTAGCCCAGGGCTTCTGACGCTTTTCCAGGCGTGCTCTCTGCATGACGTGTTTTCCTCCACACCCGGCCTCCTCCTCCTCCAGTGGCCGGAACCGGAAGGCACGCCAAGCAGGTCGCTGCCCTAGTGCCAGGGCGTGGAAGGGCCGGGCAGAGCCGCCTAAACACAGGCTGGGTCCTGGCGTGGCTGCGGGACAGGCAGGCTGAGCCGCGGGGCAAGGAGGCTGCTCGCAGCAGCTCCTGACGGCTGGTCTCCAAGGCGCCGGCTCAGGCCGAGCCCCTGACGATCGTTTGGGGGGGCTGTTGTGACTGGGAAGGCTTTGGCTCAAATCCCTTCTCTGGTCCTAAAAGGAGACACACGCAAACACACACGCACTCAGCTTATCAGCAGCAGACAGACCGACAGGAGGAACAGGAGCCTCGGGAGTCACCCACAGGGACCAGCCTGCCCTGGCCCCGGGCCTGGTCCCTCGGGGAGGGCGTGCCTTGGTGGCAGCTTCGCCCCGATCTTCACCTGATCCTCTGAGCGGGAACAGTGGACAGAACTTTCCACGACATCAGAAACGATATCTCCACGTGAAAGGAAAGTTCTCATCTCCCGGCTTCGTGTGAAGAAGCCAGAAAAACTGTACCTGCCTCCTGTCCAGCGACTGGCCGGGGATGTGACCACCCAGCGGCCCTCGGAGCCCTACGGCGCAGGCACAGGGACCGGGGCCTCACCCTCGGTCGGGCCCTGCAGGGAGGGCAGGGTGGGGTGGGCGACCGCCAGGGAGGCAGTCCAGCGCCGCTTCTCTGCAACATTTGTTTGGCACAAGGCTTTGCACCCAGAGGGGGCCAAGTATTATACAAGGGCAGCAGCAGCAGGTTCAGCTGCCAGCCGTCATTACCTATCAGGTGAAGCTAAGTAAGGGTATGAGCTAAGAAGACAGATCAACCCCAGCTGGTGTGGCTCAGTGGCTAGAGCGTCAGCCTGCACGCTGAAGGGTCCTGGGGGGAGGACCGGTCAGGGCACAGGCCTGGGTTGTGGGCTTGATCCCCAGTGTGGACGTGCAGGAGGAGGCCGACCCATGGTTCTCACCATTGATGTTTTTTCTCTCTCTCCCTTCCTCTCTGAAATAGTTTTTAAAGAAAAGAACCACAAAGCCAGCATCAGGTGTGCAGGCTGCCCCGGTCCCACAGGCCTCCCTGCCCCCCACGTGCTGCTGTGTGTCCTCCACATCTGCGACTGGCTCCTCTCGGACCTGAGCCCCCGTCCCCCTCAGCCCGAGGCTGCTGCGGTGAAGGCAGGTGCCCTGGCCCGGCCAACGCATCGATTTTTTAAAAAAATATATATTTTTTTTTATTGATTTTTCACAGAGAGGAAGAGAGAGGGATAGAGAGCTAGAAACATCGATGAGAGAGAATCATCGACCAGCTGCCTCCTGCACCCCCCCCACTGGGGATGTGCCCGCAACCAAGGTACATGCCCTTGACCGGAATCGAACCCGGGACCTTTCAGTCCGCAGACCAACGCTCTACCACTGAGCCACACTGGTGCCGGCGCGTCGGTTTTTTTAATATGTATATGTTATTGGGAATTGAGCCCAAAACCTGGGCTTGTGCCTGACTGGGAATGGAACCATGTCCTCCTGACTCATAGGTCGACGCTTAGCCACTCAGCCAAACGGGTTTCGGCTGGGTCATCTTTTTAAAAATATATATATATTTTTACTGGGGATAGAGCCAGCAACCTGGGCATGGGCCCTGACCAAGAATGGAACCGTGTCTCCTGATTCATAGGTCAAAGCTCAGCCACTGAGCCACCCGGCCGGGCGGGCATTTAACCCAGGAGGTTCCCAGGCAAGAGGGCAGTGCCATGGAGGCCCACGTTTTGGTAAAAGAGCCAAGAGTGACAGCCACCACGGGAGGGGAGGTGAGGGCGAGGGTCGGGCGGGGCCTTCCCAGGCGGGCCCTGTGCTCCCTCAGACACAGGCAGCCCCAGCTTTGTGGGTGGTGGAGCCAGCCTCGCCCTCACCTCCCGGTGTCCAGGCCGGGCCCCTGGCGCCTGGTGCCGGCCCACAGGCCTTGTCCTTGCGGTGTCCTCTGGAAGGCACCTTTCAGCCCGTGGTGGAGCTGGGTGCGAGGGCCAGGAAGGATCTGACCCCTTTGGCCGGGCGTGGCGACAGGTGGGCTGAAAGACGAGCCGAGAACTCGATCTGTGCCTGAGCGCGGGGTGGCCAGCGGCTCGGTTTCAGCTCTCACGGGGGAGCGTGACCGGCAGCTTTATATAGCTCCGCGGCCGTGCCGGCGGGAGGCGTCCTTTCGGAGGGAGCATCGGAGCATTCATCGCCGTCCGGCCGGAAGCCCCGCTTGGCTAGGAGACCCTGCCCGCTGCGCTGGGCGCAGGTCTCTCCTGAGCAGTAGGCCCCCACAGGGGCGGCCCCCCGCTGCCCCCGAGATGCCCAGCAGGACGGTCCGCTATGTGGCCTACAGCCCCCGGCAGCGGCGCCGCCGGATGCTGGCCCAGCGCACCGTGCGCTTCCCCAACGACGTGCTGTTCCTGGACCACATCCGCCAGGGCGACCTGGAGCAGGTGGGGCGCTTCATCCGGGCCCGCAAGGTGGCCCTGGACACGCTCTACCCCTCAGGTGAGCCCTGCAGGGCCAGCCGGGTCTGAGGGCGGCAGGGGGTGGCCCCGACCCTGACCCCTGTCCGGTGCTGTCCGCCCAGGCCTGGCAGCCCTGCACGAGGCAGTCCTGTCTGGGAACCTGGAGTGCGTGAAGCTGCTGGTCAGATACGGGGCAGACATCCACCAGCGCGACGAGACAGGCTGGACGCCCCTGCACATCGCCTGCAGCGACGGGTACCCCGACATCGCCAGGTGAGCAGGCCGAGCTCCCCCGCCCGCCCACTCCGCCAGCCTCCCGGAGGCGTCCCCCAAAGCCGGCCCTGGCGGGGTAGCTCGGGGCCCTCGGGGCCATGGCGGCTCCTCTGCCCGGTGTCCTCCGGGCGCGGACGGGGAGCCAGGAGCAGTTCCTTCCCCAAAGGGCCGGTTCTCGCCCCCCAGCCCCCCTCGAATAGGAAGGCAGGCGGGTCCCGGCTCCAGCGGGGTCCCGGGTGGGGGCAGGTCGCGGCCTCTCCCGCTGCAGCCGGGCCGCTCTGTGCGCAGGTTCCTCCTCTCCCGGGGAGCCGATCGGAAGGCGGCCAACGACGACGGCGACCTGCCCGCCGACCTCATCGACCCCGACTTCCAGGACTTGGTGGAGCTCTTCCAGGGCGCCGGGGTGGGCTAGCCGCCCGCCCCGGCGCCGCCCCCCCGCCGCCCCGCCCCGGCCCGGCCTGGCCTTTCCTCCAGGCGCGTTTTGTACGCTGACACTTTGTACTTTTTCAATAAACGTGACGCCCGAGCCCGCGGTCCCGTCTTCCCTCCAGGAGCCTCGGCGCGCGGCGGCCCCGCGCCGGGGTCACGTGGCCCGGCCCTGCGCGGCGCGTGCGCGGCGCGTCACTTCCGGCCGGGCCCAGCTGGCGGCGGCGGCGGCGGCGGCGGCGAGGTGAGGCGGCGGCGGGGGCGGAGCGGGCGCGGCCGGGACCCGCCCTGGCGCGGCCGGGAGGGCTGGGCAAGGCCCGGGCGGGTCGCGGAGGCCCGGGCGCCCCACCCACCCCGCCCCGCGCGGCCCCGCTGGGCGCCCCGGCCCGGGCGCGGGAGGAGGGGGCGTGGGGACGTGGCGCCCGGGCCGCCTGGCGGCCTCGAAGATGCCGCCGCCGCCGAGCGGGATCGCGGGCCCGTCCCCCGTGGAAAGGGCCCCTCCCGGTGGGCGGCCCCTCCGCAGCCTCCCTGCCCCTGTGTCCGCCGGCCCCACCCCTTCCTGCGGGGCCCGGGCCGTGCGGGCGCCCGGGGGTGCGACCTGCCCGCCCTCCTCGGGGGCTCGCGGGGCGGCGGGAGCGGATGCGCTCGGGGTGGGAGCCGGGGCATCGTCCTTCCCGGGACCGAAGCGCAGCCCCGGTTGTGGCTGCAAAACCTCCAGGAGCCCAGGTGCACAGGCTGCGTCCCCCGCCCCCCGCCCGGCCTGTCCCGAAGGAGGCGCCGCGCAATCAGGTGGCCCTCACCTGCACCCCGGGATGAGGACGGGATGGGGCGGAGGGCACGGCCGAGCTAAGACCCGGCTGAGCAGGAGCGGACGGGGAGGGCAGGCCGAGGTCTTTATTTGGGTTGTGGGGTGGGCAGGGCGGGGGGGATGGCAGGGGCGGCGGATTTCCAGGGGAGGTGGGAGGGGATGCACACGCCCAGGCCCGTTTCTGGGGAGGGAAGCTGCGGTGGTCACTCAGGAAGGGGGCGGGTGGTGCCTGTGCTGGAGGCCTTGTCCGGGTGATGGACAGGCAGCCCCTTGGGGGTCTAGCTCAGTAGTGACCTGAGGCGCTGCTGGGGGGTGGACCCCTTTCTCATTGGCTGGCACTGGGCCGGCCGGAGAGCCCCAAACACCCAGAATGGCAGGAAAGTGGAACCTGAGGAAACCTGCCGGGGAATTCCAAAGGAACACGGAAGGAGCTGCGTGATGTCATCGGTTCTGCCCCGGAATCCCCACTGTCCCTGTTCCGGACCGCGGTCTCCGCCGGCGGGTGGCTGTGTGTGGGGACAGGGCTTGAAGCTGGGGGTCAGCGGCCAGGCTGGGGGCCCTCCCTCTCCCGGCGGCCTGGAGCCCTGGGTCCCAGGGAAGAGGAAGGTAGGGCTGTGCAGCCCCCTCCACGAGCCCGCGCAGGGCACCTCAGTGTCGGGGCGCCCAGGAGCCTTTGGGGAGGCAGGCGAGGGCAAGGCAGGCACGGGGGTGTTGAGCCCAGCTGAACCAACCGGGCGGCCCTGGAGGCCCAGAGGTTGGGGTGCAGACCCTCCTCTGCTGGGGAGCAGGCTGCTTTATCCACCAAGCCTCCAAAAAGGGGTTGTCAGGACCTCTCTTTCCGGCCCAGTGCAGCTGCGCCCCGCAACTAGCCCTGGCCAGGTGTCCGCATGGCCAGGTGTCTGATGTGGCCAGGTGTCTGCCGTGGCCAGGTGTCTGCGTGGCCAGGTGTGAGCTGGGTAGCACACCACTGAACCCCCTCCCAGCCTCAGGAGGGGCTTGGCCCACGCTCGGGCATCCTGAGGGCCCTGGGTCCAGGGTGAGTGGGGAGGCTCCGGTGCTCAGAGCCCCCTCCCGGGCTCCCCACCCAGCACCTGGACTGTCCTGTCTGGGCGAGGGCTGGCCTGGGACCAGCCTGTGCAGCTAGCGCCCTCGCCCTGCAGTGTGTCCAGCTGGCAAGGCGGGCGGAGAGGGAGCCTAAGAATAGCCTCGCGCCCAGGGCTCCGAAATCCCCCGGGCAGAGCGCGGGCAGAAACAGGCCCAGCTCCAGGGTCTGGGTCACTGGGTCAGGCCCCAGGCCGCAGCTCCCTCTGGCTCACACCCCTCCCCGCCTCGCCCCGCTCGCTCCCCCAGCCTCCGGGACCAGAAGCTCCTCACCCTGGAGGCACGGCCCCGCTCACAGGTGGGAAACTGAGGCTCTCGGGAGCAGCTGCCAGGCCTCGCAGGTGCGGGCAGTTGGGGTTCACGAGAGGCGCTCTGTGGTTCTGGAAATGGGTGTCAGCCGCTGGCACCACCGAACCACCCGCCTCCGAGGAAGGGCTCCCGGGCAGCTTTTCCGGGTGCTGGGTCTCGGGTGCTCGAGGCCATGCATGGCGCTCCCCCCACCAGCCCTGGGGCTCCCACCAGCTGGGCCTGCTGCATCTCTAGCCCAGATGGTGGTAGGCCCCATCCGGGGGTCCCCCCAGTAGCGAGGCCACAGCAGTTTGTCGTCAGCGGGAGGAAGGCAGCGTCTCTGAGGCCTGGAGCGGTGACTGCGTGTCCGGTTTCCCTGCAGAGGCCGAGGGACCCGGCAGCCGAGCGTGTGGACCAGACCCCAGCGATGACCAGGTGGGTTCTAGGCCCCAGAGCAGCCTCTGCCCGTCCTGGGGCAAGGGGAGTGGATCCCCACTCCTCACGAGCCGGGTTCCCCCAGTTCCCCCGTCTCCAGAGTCGTCTACAACGGCAAGAGGAACAGTAGCCCCCGCTCCCCCCCCAGCAGCAGCGAGATCTTCACCCCGGCCCACGAGGAGAATGTGCGCTTCATTTACGAAGGTGAGGGGAGAACGGTTCTTGTGATGGGGGCCTGTCAGCACTTGGGGTTCCCAGTGGGCGCTGCCCCCAGAAGAGGCAGTGCTTGTAGCTGGTGGGGTGGGGGTGGGGGTGGAGTGGGGGGAGGCTGTGGAAGACGGATGTGCACTCGGGGGGAACCCAGTGGTGTCCCAGAAGTGGGGGCTGTGTCCCTGGAGGGGTGAGAGCTGTACCCCAGTGGATCACAATAGCCTCTGGGACCGCAGCCCTGGCCAGACATAACAGGATGAGGGCCCCGGCCTGCTAGAGGAGCCGGCAGGAGGCCGAGCCAGCCGGTCTGGGGGCCACATGCTGAGTGGGGAGATGCGGGCCCAGGAGGGGCTGTGCGGACGCCCTAAGGGGGAGGGTGCTCTCCTCTCTCCTGGGGGACACGGTGGGGATGCCGCCCAGTGGGCTGGGGCGCTGACTGCCTCACCATCCTTAGCCTGGCAGGGCGTGGAGCGGGACTTGCGGAGCCAGATCTCCGGCCACGAGCGGGGCCTGGTGGAGGAGTACGTGGAGAAGGTCCCCAACCCCAGCCTGAAGAGTGAGTGGGCGGGGCCGGCGGGGCGGGGCCTGCGGAGAAGGTCCCTAACCAGCCTGAAGGGCGGGGCGGGGCAGGAAAGCCCACCTGCTTCCTGTTTCCGGACTGGAGAAGCTGACGGTTGGGTGGGTCCCAGGGCCTACCGAGGTGGGAGCGGGGTCAGGCGGGAGCCGCCTCCTGCACCCGCACTGACCGGGCTTCCCCCGCACAGCCTTCAAGCCCATCGACCTGAGCGACCTGAAGCGCCGCACGCAGGATGCCAAGAAGTCCTAAGGCCAGGCCTGGCCTCCGGGGGTCCGCGCCCGTGTGCTCCGCTCTCCCCTGGGCCCGGCTCCGGGAGGGGGAGGGGAGCCGGGTGCGCTCCCTGTGGGTGGCAAACCCAGGACCCAGGCGGCGATTGAAGGCCAGCCCGCCCCTCCCCAGCCCTTCCTCTCCCCGGGCGGCTCAGCTGCCGGCCTGGGAGGCTGCCCTGCCAGCCCCGCACTCCCGGCCTCGCAGCCTGGGTGTCTGGAGCTCCCTGGCCTGCCTGCCTGCCCCCAGGGTCCTGACCCTGACTCCTGTCTCCCGCTGCCCCCGCCCCGGCCCCCTCCAGGAACAGGACAGACTGAGGGCCCTCTGGTCTCCTGGGCCTGGGGGACTCGTCCAGGTTTGACTGAGGTGGCCAGAGGCCAGGAAAGGGCGGCCCCACCCACACCCAGTCTGGGTCCCACGTTGCTGCTTCTCTGGCCTGGACACATGGGAGCAAATAACCCGACCCCTGCACCCCCTCACTGCCCAGCCTGGCCCCTCCTCCAGGCCTGGGTCCCCAGTGCCTCATGGGGCTCTGGCCCTGGGGTGTGTGCCCTGTGGTTGTAGCAGCCCCTCGGCAGGGGCCAGGGCCCTGTCTGTTCCCTGCGGGAGGGTCGCCAGGGCCCTTACCCTGTGCTGAGCCCGGGACCCGTGAATAAAGGTGGCGATGCTGGTGCCTCTTGGCAGTCTGTCCCTGCAGCCCACACTCCTGAGCCCCGAAATGTCGTCTGATCTGATCTCGGTCTCTACTGGGGGCTCAGGCCTCTTGGTGGCCTGGAGGACAGGGGGGAAGTGCTGTGGTCTTGGGCCCGCCCCCTGGGGCAGTGGTACCCTCTGCAGCCTGGACCCACCGAGACCCAAGTGCCCGCAACCTTCCAACTGCAGAGCTGCCGGCCCTGCGGACAGCCACACCACATCTATTTTGGGAACATCTCTTCCCAGATGAGCGTTTGGGGCTTGAGTGCCCGCAGGTGGCTCTGGGGGTGGTTCCCCAGCGCCAGATGCAGGAAGGACGTCCCTGCAATAAACAGCCACCCAGGCTGCCAGTGGGCGCTGAGCCGAGTTCCTGTGATCCTGCGGCCTCTGCTCCGGGCCTGGGAGGTTGTGGAGCCCGGGCTGGGCTGGGCTGGGCTGGGTCAGGCCGGGTCGCCGAGCTGTCCCACTGTCCAGCCGGAAGGGAGTGTGCGCCAGGGTGGGCGGGGTTCCCTGGGCTTCCACCAGAGGCTGAGTGAGTGCCGGCACGCATCACACCCTGCCCCCAGGACCCCGACCAGCCTGCCGTGCTGTCCCGGGGGAGGGGTCCCAGGGGAGGGGGTCCTGGTCGGAGGGGGCGGGTGGCTGGGGCCCAGCAGCCTGTGCTGCAGGTGTGGTCTCAGCCTCAGTTTCCTCAGGTGGAAACCGGCACCCACCTCCCAGATGCTGCCACGGTAGAGCAGGTATCCAGCCTCCAGGTGTGAACGCCGCTGCCACCGATGGTCACTCCGGATGGCGGCACGGCCTGGAGGCGAGGGCCCTAGGCAGCAGCTGGTGGTGGGGAAGCTGTGTCCCCATGCAAAGTGGGGGTGGGCTGTGGGGAGAGGTTGGGGCTCTGGCCCTGGAGGCAGAAGCTGGGCTCTGGGCCGGCGCGGAGAGGGGGCGAGGAGCATGGTTGAGGATGGGCCTAGAGCTCCCCTTACAGCAGACCCATCCTCCAGGGCCTCCTTCCCCAGGTGGGGCCCAGACATCCCGTCTGGGGGTTTCCCTAACGGGCTGCCCTGCCACTTCCTGGTCCCAGGCACTGGGGGCTCAGCCTCCCCAGTGGCTGCCCTGGCCGCCTGGCGCCCCAGCAGATTCCTATCCCGTCTCCCTATGAGGGCACGGTGGCCTTTGAGCCTGGCTTACTGAGACACGGCTTTATCTCCATCAGCTGTTCACGGAGCAGACACTGCTCGGAGCTGAGGGCACCCTCCGTGTTCACCCTTGTTGTCCTTCAGGGACTAAAGCCCCACTGCCCCTCGCCCCCCTGCCCCACGTTCTGGATTCGGCTGGTCCCCACGTGGTGGTAACGGGCCACTCTCCTGTGTTTCTGTAAACAGGTGAGACAGGCTCCTGGGGTGGGGTGGGTTCGTAGGAGACTTGGATGTCGGGTATCTGCTCTGCCAGTGCTGAGCGGGCTGGGGGTTGGGGAGACAGGAACCAGCTCAGAGGCGTCCAGCAATCCGTGGGGGAGGTGCTGGTGGGGAGTGGGCCCAGTGTGGGTTCCGGGGTCCGGGCTGCAGGTGGAGTCCTCTGGCTGTCGGTTTTTATTTTGAAAATTGAATTTTAAAGATTGACAAGAAGGGAAGAGAGTTGGGCCTGACTGCTGGGGTGCTGCACCCTAGGAGAGCAGGAGGAGGAAGCAGGAAGAGGGGTTGTGCCTTGGAGAGTAGGTGGGGAGGGCCGGGCTGAGGGCTGCCAGGTGCCCGAGGCCAAGGAGCTCCGAGTGGACCTGCCGCCTCAGCTCAACCCCCACCCAAGGCAGCCGCTCCTGCCAGCAGGTCCTTGTATTTCCACCCAAAGGGCAGGCAGAGCCCTGTCTGGGTCTTCCCATCTGTGCTCCCTCCCCGCACCCACAGCCCTCCCCCACCCGCCCACCCGCCAGCGGTGCTCCTTCTCCCATACGCCCACGACGCAAGCACTTACACCCGATGTCTGTGTGTGCTCGGCACTGAGCCATGTGGCAAACGGGTCATTTTCCTTCCCTGCCCTTTTGTTTTCCTTAGTTATTAATTGCCTTCTTTTCCACGTGCTGTTTCCTCTGCACCTGTCTCCCCAGTCATCCCAGTCTCCTCCCGCTGTGGCCTGTCACTGTGGCCCATTGTTGGTGCCTCCCCAGAGCCCCTGCCCTGCTGGGGCCTGGGTACTCCCTTCCCCCCCGCCCCCCGCCGGGCACCCCTGGTGGGGATGCGCCCTGATGCTCCTGGTGTGATTCTGTTTATCAAAGGCCATGTTTTCCTCTTCCTTGGTCTTCACACTCTTTTTAGTAGCACACGTATGTGCGTGCACACACACACACACATGTACACGTGTGCACAGGCTGGTGGGACCGTTGGTTGCTCTGGGCGCCAAGGGAAGGCCTCGGTGGAGGTGGTGAGGGAGGGGAGCCGGCCGGGCATTTGTCTCCCGGTGGAGGATGCTGTGGTGCAGGGCCCGCCCCTGGCCCCCCCCCCCCCCCCTCTGCAGGTCCCCCACTCAGAACCGGGGTTTACTGACTGGGCAGGCCCAGCCCTCCACTCCGCCCGACTCCGCTGGCCGCTCCGGTCCCCTGGGCACGGGACGGGGTAGAGGAGGACAAGGGCAGAGGGATGGGGATGGGGGGGCAGCAGGCGGCCCTGGTGAGGACGCACCCCCAGGCGGTCACTGACCCTGAGCTCAGCCGCCGTGAAGGAGAGCCGCCCTCCCTGTGCCAGCTGGGCCACACAGGCTCCCGGCGCCCTGGGCAGGGTTCCGAGGAGACAGGCCTGGGACCAGGGCCGGAGGTGGCCTCGGCTGGACCGGGCCCTGGCTGCCCACCAGGACGCTCCCCCACCCGCCTCTCCGGGCTTGGGCGTGGGCGGCTGGGGTGAGCCCCTCAGGAGGCCCCACGCCTGCCGGAGTAATTCTATTTACCTTTCCTGAGAGCCTCCTGTCCTCTCATTTGTCCCATTAGCCCGGCTGTGCCTGAGTGGCTCCGGCCACGTGGCCGCCGCGGTGGGCACCCTTCCCCCGCCAGCCGCCCGCCGCCCAGGGCTCCGGAGCAGGGCCACCTGGCTGGCGGCTTGGCCACGCGCTCTGCCCGGCCGCCCCCTCCTGAGGCGCCCCCGCCCTCCACATCCCACTGGGCTCTCAGCGGGCTGCCAGGGGTGACCTCGGCCCGCTGGTCCCCTCCCGCCCTCGCTCCAGCCCCCTCAGACGCTGTGCCTGGGAGCACGGGGACCTCAGGGCTGCGCCCCTGCCCACACCCCGGTGTCCGGCCGCCCGCACTCAGCCTCATCCCAGGGTCAGTCCCCCGATGGGGAGGACGGTGCCTGGTGAGGCCGGGACACTGCGGTCACCTCACTCGGGCAGTGCAGTCGGGGTCCCCTCTCCCCACTTCACCGGCCGCAGGGCCTGCTGGCTACTCAGGCGGCCAGAGCCGGGGTGGAACAGAGGCGAGCGGAGGACATGGGCCAGGCTGTCCCGAATGGTCCCCGCTGACCCCCAGTGAAGCCCATGTCCATGGGGAGAAGGGTGATGTCAGTGTCCCGGGCCATCGCCCCCCATCGTGTCCCCCCACTGGCAAATAGTGACCCTTGGGGGCCGGGCCACAGCCGATGCGGGGGGAGGGGGAGGGCGGCGGGGGGGTGGGCCCTGTCCCCTCGGCCTGCAATGGCTGAGGCCGCCGGGCCTGGCGAGAGGCCGCAGCCGTAACCTGAGGCAGCCAGATGCTCCCGCCTGCACCCACTCAGTCCTATCGGGGTTCAGCTCTAGTCCCTCTGAAAAGTGGGGGTCTTGGAGGGCAGGGCCAACGGGGGGGGGGGCAGAGAAGACCTGGGCCCAGCCCGCCCCGGCCCCTCAGAGCGCCCCGCCCCCTCAGAGCGTCCTGGCCCCCCTCAGAGCGTCCCGGCCCCCCTCAGAGCGTCCCGGCCCCCCTCAGAGCGCCCCGTCCCCCTCAGAGCGCCCTGTCCCCCTCAGCGCGCCCCCCCTCCCCTCAGAGCGCCCCGCCCCCTCAGAGCGCCCCGCCCCCTCAGAGCGCCCCGCCCCCTCAGAGCGCCCCGTCACCTCAGAGCGTCCCGGCCCCCCTCAGAGCGCCCCCCGTCCCCTCAGAACGCCCCGCCCCGTCCCGTCCCCTCAGAGCGCCCGCCCCCCTCAGAGCGCCCCGTCCCCTCAGAGCGCCCCGCCCCCTCAGAGCGCCCCGTCCCCGTCCCCTCAGAGCGCCCAGCCCCCTCAGAGCATCCCACCCCCTCAGAGCGCCCGCCCCCTCAGAGCGCCGCCCTCCCCCCCCCCGTCCCCTCAGAGCGTCCCGGTCCCCCTCAGAGCATCCCACCCCCTCAGAGCGCCCCGTCCCCTCAGCGCGCCCCGCCCCCTCAGAGCGCCCCCGTCCCCTCAGAGCGCCCCGCCCCGTCCCCTCAGAGCGCCCGCCCCCTCAGAGCCTCCCGCCCCCTCAGAGCGCCGCCCTCCCCCCCCCCCCCGTCCCCTCAGAGCGTCCCGGTCCCCCTCAGAGCATCCCACCCCCTCAGAGCGCCCCCCCCCCCCCCCGTCCCCTCAGAGCGCCCCGCCCCGTCCCCTCAGAGCGCCCGCCCCCTCAGAGCCTCCCGCCCCCTTCAGAGCGCCCCGCCCACGGTTCCCTCAGAGCGCCCGCCCCCCTCAGAGCCTCCCGCCCCCTCAGAGCGTCCCACCCCCCTCAGAGCGCCCCACCCCCGCCCCATCAGAGCGCCCCCCCCTCAGAGCGACCTTCAGAGCCCCCGGTCCCCTCAGAGCGTCCCGCCCCCTCAGAGCGCCCCGCCCACGGTCCCCTCAGAGCGCCCCGTCCCCCTCAGAGCGCCCCGTCCCCCTCAGCGCGCCCACGCCCCCCTCAGCGCGCCCCGCCCCCTCAGAACGCCCCACCCCCGCCCCATCAGAGCGCCCTGCCCCTCAGAGCGACCTTCAGAGCCCCCGGTCCCCTCAGAGCCTCCCGCCCTCTCAGAGCGCCCCGCCCCTCAGAGCGACCTTCAGAGCCCCCGGTCCCCTCAGAGCCTCCCGCCCCCTCAGAGCGCCCCGCCCCTCAGAGCACCCCGCCCACAGTCCCCTCAGAGCCCCCGGTCCCCTCAGAGCATCCCACCCCCTCAGAGCGCCCCGTCCCCCTCAGCGCGCCCCGCCCCCTCAGAGCGCCCCGCCCCCTCAGAGCGCCCCGCCCACAGTCCCCTCAGAGCGCGCCGCCCCCTCAGAGCGCCCCGTCCCCCTCAGCGCGCCCCGCCCCCTCAGAGCGCGCCGCCCGGCCCCCCTCAGGGCGCGGCAGCCACAGCACAAGCTCTTTATTGCTGGAGGACACACACTCCTCCACAGACACGGACACAGACACACACGGACACACAGACACGCACTGACGAGAGGCTCCCCCATTCCCCCTGCCCGCCCCCCGGGCCCCGCTGGGCACAGAGCAGGTGTGAGAGGGGAGGGGAGGCGAGGGGAGGCCCGCCCCTTCGGCCCTGCAGGGGACCCGGGGGCAGTGGGGTGTCGCCAGAGCCTCTCCGACCCGGTCTGGATTGTTCGTCGCGGCCTCCCTCCGGCTCACAGGGCGCTCTGGGCCCACCCCGGGAGGCGGGCAGCCTCGGGGGGCTCCCCGGCGGGGTCGTGGGGGGCCCCGTTGCTGTCAGGGCCCCGGGTCAGCAGCAGCTTCTCGGTGGGGGCCCCGCTGGAGGGCCGGGCGGGGGCTGGGCGGCTGCTGCCCGGGCGCTCCTCCCACAGCGCCTCGCCCGCACGCCAGCGGCGCCAGCTCCGCAGCAGCTCCGCCTGCACCTGGGGCGGCCGACAGGTGGGGACGAGCCGGTGCCCCCAGTCCCCCCGCCCCGGGCTCCCCCGAAGGCCTGGCACCCCGCCGGGAGCAGGAGGGCTCCGCCGCCAGGACGTGGGGTTTGGGGCGGCTGGCACGTGGGCATGAAAGCTGGGCGCCGGGCTCACTCTCCCACCCCCGCCGTCCAGGCCCCACTCACCTCCTTGTTGAGGAAACAGTAGAGAACAGCCACCAGCAAGCCCTGCAGAGAGGGGTCACCTAGGGTCAGCCAGCCCCAAGGGAGTGTGGGCACCTGGGGGGCACCTGGGGGCGGGCACTGGGGGACACCGGGGAGTGGGCACCTTGGAGGGCAGGCACCTGAGGGACACAGGGGTGGGCACCTGGAAGGAGCTGAGGAAGAGGTCAAAGAAGAGCTTGGCAAAGCGCAGGGTGCCCTGGGCGTGCTCGTCCGTCACGAAGGCGAACACCACCTCGTGGACGCCCAGCAGGGGGATAAGGGTCAGTGTGGACTTGGCCAGCCTGTGGGGGCAGAGCCTGAGCACAGCACTGCCCCGCCCCTGCCCAGCCCACCTGCCAGCACCCCCCCGCCCGCACCCACCCTGCCCACACACCCCTGCCCGCACCCACCCTGCCCACACCCCCCTGCCTGCACCCCCCTGCCCGCACCCACCCTGCCTGCACCCCCCTGCCCGCACCCCCCTGCCCGCACCCACCCTGCCTGCACCCCCCTGCCCGCACCCCCCTGCCCGCACCCACCCTGCCTGCACCCCCCTGCCCGCACCCCCCTGCCCGCACCCCCCTGCCCGCACCCACCGGAACTTGTAATCCGTCTGGCGCATCTGATGGGCCCGCAGCTTGGCCACAAGGATGTGGAGGATCCGGACGAAGATGAAGAAGTTGATCTGCATGTGGAGGGCCTGGCTCAGGGCGCCCTGGCCTCCCGGCTCCCGGCTCCCCAGGCCCTGGGGCTAGAGGGCACAGGGCCAAGACGGCAGCCCAGCCCCAGGCCAGGGCGCCGGCAGTGTCCTGGCGGCGTGCCGGCCTCCCTCCCGTCCGCCCAGGCAGGATGCTGTCTGCCTCTTGGCCGCCGGCACCGCAGGCCCACGAGGCCGGCGGCTGAGCCCACCCCAGGCCCCGCCGGAGCCGCCATTTCCTCACCACAAGGGTCAGGAAGACGGGGAAGCGCAGGATCCACCAGAAGCCCATGTTGTCGTTGCTGGTCCAGCACCTGCGGGCGGCGCTCACACTGTCAGCCCCGCCTGCCCCGACCGCCCCCCAATGCCCGCAGATCTAATCGTGACGGGAAAGACCCCATCCTGGGCACCAGGTCTGTGACACCCTCCCCCGGCCCAGAACCGGTGGCCCGTCCTCGCCGGGCGGGTACTCACTGGATGTTCTCGAACAGACACTTCACCACCGCCCAGGGGATGACGAACAGCATGGGGGCGCCTGCAGGGGCGGCAGCTGTGGTCCTAGCTCCCCGCCTCCCCTGGGCGTGCCCCCCCACCCCGCAGCGGCCCCTCACCCCAGCCGATGGCCAGGTACAGGGCAAAGTAGCTCCTCTCGGGGCCGGTGGACAGGCCCAGCAGGCTGAGCAGGTACACGCCCTCCACCAGCAGCCAGCAGGCGTTGGCCACCACGCCGTACTGCATGAACACGGCGGCCACCCGGCAGCCCGCCACCGCCTGCGGGCAGGGCAGCGTGTGAGCGGGCCGCCCGGCCGGGGTGGGGGGAGGGCACGGGGGTGGGTTTGGGGGGACGGGTGCTCACCCCGTCGCTCAGCCAGCCCCGCACGCTGAGGTCGTCCCCGATCTGCTGGCCGTAGCGGGTCTGGAGCAGCGTGTCGATGGCCAGCACGGAGCCGGCCTTGAGCACGAAGGAGGCAAACAGGTTCGCGTGGACGTAGTTGCGGGTGCAGCGCAGCCTCCTGTGGGGACGGGAGTCGGCGCCCGCCCGCCCGCACCCGGCCCGCCTCCCCTCCCCTCCCCCGGCGCGGGCCTACCTGAGGCCCAGCAGGACGGCCAGTGCCAGCAGCAGCGCCCCCAGCGAGAGGCAGTACCCCACCGTGTACATCACCTGGAAGCCGCGGTACAGCCTGGCCACGCCCTTCTGTGGGCCACAGGGCAGTCAGGCGGGTGGGGGACGGCCCCCGACCCCCGGCCCCCCGGCCCCCCGGCCGCCTCACTGACCTGCACCTTCAGCTCCTCCTCGTCCATCTGGCACTGGGACGCGTTTCTCCAAGGCTGCCCCCGCGGCCCCCGCACCCACTGCCCGTCCGGCCCACACCTCTTGTAGACAAACCGGTGCTGGACTGCGGGGGTGAGGGGGTGTGATGGTCTGAGCCCCCCCCCCCCCCGCACCCTCCCCCCCACCGTTCCCCGTGCCTCTGCAGGTACCTTTGTGGTACCAGGGCAGGTACCAGGGGCAGGAGATGTTGGCCGTGGTGTTGGGCGGCGTGTCGGGCCAGCAGGAGTACTTGTCAAAGGTCCGGTTGCAGACCAGCTCTGTGGGGCGGCGGGCACTCAGCAGGCCTCGGCCTCTCGTCCCGCCTGGGGGTCCCCTGAGAACCGTCCTCTGCTCCCGCCTCCCCTGGGCCACCCTGCATTTCCCCCAGCTTGCCCCACACCTACCTGGGGCTCCCCCCTCTCCCCAGTTCTCTTTATAAAGTGCCTCCTGCTCTGGGGACTGAACCCTAATTTCGTTGGCTCTCTTCCTGGGCCCAGCACCCACCCTGTAGGCAGTCCCTCCCCTTGCCCTGGGCGGGTCCCTTCCCTGCCGGGCAATGCCTGCTCCTGCCTCTCTGCACCCGGGGCCTCCGGGACTGTCCAGACACGGACCCCATCCTGGCCTGGCCCTCTGGCCCCAGGGCCTCGTGAGGTCGGCCCACCTGTCTCTGCAGCCCCCTGTGGCCTCTAAGCCCCCGTGGGGCGCCGCAGCGGGGGCAGGGGGGCACGGAGCACCCCAGTGCGGAGACCAGTCTACCGCCTCTCTTCCCTCCTGCTCCTGTGGCCTCGGGCACGTCACCACCTCTCGTGACTCAGTTTCCTCTCCTGAGCTGAGCCTTCCCACGAGCGGAGCCAGGAGATGCCCAGGAAGGAGGCGGCTCCCCGAGGCTCACCCGTGGGGGGCGGCAGCAGGCTCAGGTTGTGCAGACACTGGTCCCCGTAGAGCTTCCACCTCTCGAACAGAAAGTCCATCACCTGCGCGCATGGGGCCTGCGGCTGAGGCGGGAAGGGGTGGGAGCGGCCGGTCAGCGAGGGCCGGGAGGGCGAGGGCGGGTGGGGGCGGGAGAGGGGATAGGGGAGGATGGGCGAGGGCCAGAGCGGGAAGGACGCTCACCTGGGTGGTCAGCAGAAGCAGCAGCAGCAGGAAGGGGGGTGGGCGTGGCCGGGTGGGGGGCATGCCTCCGGGCTGCTGCCCCCCACATCTGCCTGGGGCTGCAGAGCAGGGGCAGAGGGTGCTTTTAGGGGAGCGCTCGGAGCAGCGGGGGGCAGGCAGCTGGGCCTGCAGCAAGGCCCAGTGCGAAGGCTCGGCTGGGTCCTTCTTGGCCACGGGGTGTCCTGCTCCCCTTAAGCCCCCTGGAGTCTTGGGGTCCCCTCGATGAGGGGGAGCTGGGGAGGCAGCGCCCCTGGCCAATGGGTCCTGCCCGGATCCTGGGGGCAGGGGTTCCGTGGCCGCAGCTGTCTTCCCGGCTCCAGCGCCCGCCCTCCCCTCCCGGTGGCAGCCATCAGCCTCTGGCCCGAAGCCCAGGCAGCCCCTCCCCCTTGGCCCCCACGCCTCCCCCCATCAGCCCTGGGGAAGGCAGGGGCTGGGGGGGGGGGGGACAGGAGCAGCAGCATGTTCCCAGGGTGGCCCCGTCCCACCACTGCCAGTTGCTGGGCCCAGGCGGGGGGAGGGGGGGGGGCCATGAGGCCTGCTTCCAGGCTGCAGCTGCCCCATAAATCCTCCCTCGGGCTCCCAGCAACTCCCATGGGGCAGCTGGAGGCGCCTCTCTCAGGGCCGGGTGCAGGGCTGGGGCCCCCCTTCTCTGGGCACTGGCTGGGCCTAGCAGGTGGCGGAGGGACAGAGAGACAGGGGGACAGGGGGACGGAGGGACGGAGGGACAGAGGGACGGAGGGACAGAGGGACTGAGGACAGAGGGACAGAGGGATGGAGGGACTGAGGGATAGAGGGACAGAGGGATGGAGGGACAGAGGGAGGGAGGGACTGAGGGACGGAGGGACTGAGGGGCAGTGGCTGTCTGGAAGGCACTGCCAGGGAGAAGCCAGGAAAGGGCGAGCAGGTGCAAGCTGTGGCTGAAGGTGGGGGTTGTTCAGACACCCCAGGTTCCAGCCCCGCCCATTAGTCCAGCTGGTCCTCATGGGGCCATTTCAATCAGGGCCTCCCTGAGACGTGCCTCCTCTCCCCCTCCCACTCCCCTCCCCGCAAGGGGGTCCTGGATGCCCCCGTGAGGAGACCTGAGTGACGGGGTGCACCTGGCTCCCGGCCTGCGTGGGGCTCCTGACCCACCCGGGGACCAGGTGCACAGGTGAGGCCCCCGAGCTCAGGGCTGCAGGGTGGCGGGGAGGGGAGCCACAGTCTGAGGGTGCTCTTGGCAGAGAAGGGGGCAGTGTCTTCTGCCCCAAGGTCACAAACGGTTCCTTCTCTCCTGATTCTGACCAGACAGCCCTCACCGCCCCGCCCCTCCTGCCCCAGCCCCAGCCGGGGGGCGCGGTCCCTCCGCTGCAGTGAGGGGGTCGGGGGGCAGGGCTCCTGAGCAACTGAGGCTCAGGGCCCAGGGAGGGGAGGGACGGGTGGCTGAGCCAGTGCACAGCGGGATGCTGGGCCCGAGGAAGGACACTGCCCGATAAGCTGTTCCCGGTCCGGGCCCTGGGATGTGTGTGTGTGTGTGTGTGTGTGTGTGTGTGTGTGTGTGCGCGCGCGCGCTGCGGGCCCAGGAGCTCCACCAGGAAGCACAGCCCCCCATAGTCGTTTGGGGGGGAAGGGGGAGCCCCTCCCCTGCACAGAGCGGAGGCCTGGGGTCCCTGCTGGGCGCGCAGTGAGGTCCTGGGACTGAGGACAAAGGAGATAACTGCTCAGAGCCTCAGGTTCCCCACCTGGGACGGGGTGCCACCTCCTCAGGAGTCAGCTCTGCCACCTGAGGGCTAACGGGTGTCCCGGCCAGGCCCCGCCCCCTCCGGACAGGGAACCCCAGGGCGGCGAGCACAGGTCTGGGCTTGGGGGGATGAGGTGTGAGCCCCGGAGGTGGGGCTGCAGGTGGAGGTGCCAGGCCCCGTGTTACTCACTGATCCCCCAGCTGAGGGGGGTGGAGGCCACTGGCCGGGGCCCAGGACTGTGCCCGCAGATGCCAGCTCAGGTTGGGCAGCTGGAGCGGAAGGGGCTGGGGGGGCTCTCCCCTCCTCCTCAGCACCACCCTCCCCGCTCCCCGCACCTGCCCGCTGGCACGCTCCCTGCCCCCGCCAGCAGAAGGCACACTCACTCCCCGCAGTCACCCACCGCTTGGCCGGTGTCCCCACCAGGTGGGTGGGGGGAGGGCCGAGGGACTCCCAGGCCTGGGGGAGGGACCCGGCCGTGGATGGCCATTAGCAGAAGGGCAGGCCCCCAGGATGGAGGTGCAGGGGAGGCAGGAGGTGCAGGGGGACAGGAGGTGCGTGGGGGGAGGGGGTGTTTGTAAAACCAGATCCATGGCGGGAGGTGGTGGCCCGGGGGCCAGGCCTGTTGACAAAGCCTGATCCCTGCCCTTCACCCCGGCCGGGGGCGGCGGCACCGCTCCCCCTGCAGCCTCCCCTCCCCTCCCCCCTGCACCTCCCCCCTCCCCCTCCTCCCCCAGCCGGGCGGCCCTCAGCCCGCGGCGCTGCATGCGGGTGCCCAGCCTCCGGTCAGTGGGTTCAGCTGAGGGGGGGGGGACGCGAGGGGAGGCGGGAACCCTGCGCCCAGAAACGGAGGGGGAGCGGGTGCCAGTGACAGGTGGGCTTCCAGGGTGCCGGCCTCTCGCCCCCCATCCCTGAGACATCCCCTCCCGGGCCCCAGGGGGAGGCCAGGCCGCCGAGGACCCCGCCGGGGAGTAGCGGGGAGCCCGTGGGGGCGGGGCGGGGTGCTGGGGGGAGAGGGGACCCCGCGCTTCCCGGGAGGAGGGTGCAGCGCCGACCACCCCCCCCCCGCGCCCCACGGCCGGGAGGGCGCACCGGGGCTGGATGGAGGGTGAGGACGCAGCCCGGTCCCCGCCGGCCGGTTCCGAGCCCCGATTCTGGGCCCCCGGGACGCCCCCCCGCCGGTGCTCACCGCGCTCCGCTCCGCTCCGCTCCGGCTCCGGGGCCCCGCGCCCCGCGCCCCGCGCCCCGCCGCCCGCTCCGTGCCCGCCGGCTCCGCGCGCAAACTTTCCGGCGGCGACGCTGGGAGGCGGTGGCGACCGAGGCGGCGGGGGCGGCGGGGGCGGGAGCGGGGCGGGAGGGGGAACGGGGGGAGCAACCGAGGGTCCGCGACCCGCTCCTCCCAGCGACGCCGCGCGTCCCCCGGCCCCGGGCGGAGGGCGGTCTTCGGTCTGCGCTGCGGGGCGGGGGCGGACAGGGGGTGGTGGCTGGGGCGCCCTTCCTCTGGCTCCGTCTGGTCCCAGCTTCTCCCTGGTGCGGGGTGCGGGGTGCGGGGCGCGGGGCGCGGGCTGGTTTCCCGGAAGGACCGGCTCCCCACCTACCCCGCGGCTCCCGGGGCGCAGCGCAGGCTGATGGGGGACCCTTAACCCGGTCTCAGGGCCCAGGTCACCTCCGTTAACCCCCTCCAGTGCCCCTGGGCCCCCTCCACAGCTGCACCCCCAGCCTTCTGCCTGCAGACCCTTGGGCACCCCCTCCTCCCCCAGGTCTGCAGCCGGCGCCCCACTCTGCTTGGGGTCCATCCACCCCCTCACCTGCCAGACCCCCTCACACACACTGGGGGCCCCATCTTTCCTGGGCTTTCAGCATTCAGGACAGGACATAGCCGTTCCTTCTAGAAAGTTCTCCCTCCGCTGTGGCTTCCAGGGGCCTCTCCCCCCACTGCCCCTCACTGTGCCTGCTCTCCAGCCCCACGGGCTGCCCGGGGCCCTGGATGCGCCCCCGCCCCCATGGGACCCCCACCTCTCCTCTGTCTCCGGGCCCCTCTATGCTCTGTTTGGGGGGGCAATGGCAGCCATGGTCCCCCCGGGCCCCTCCAGCCCCCGGAGCAGAGCACCGGCGGCCCCCAGAGGTACTGGCCGGCCTGGGCCCACCCGTGCCGCCTGGAGCCCGGTGAGGGGGTGAGGGGGTGGGGGGCCCTCGAGGAGAGCTCCCCAGACCCCCCTTCTTACCGGTCACCTGGAGCCCTGCCCCCAGGGCGGCCTTTCTCTTTCAGTTCAGGTGCCCGCCAGGAAGCAAAGGTCAGAGGCAAAGGTCAGAGGCAAAGGTCAGAAAGCAGCTCTGCCTGCAGAAGGGCCACTGTGCAAACGCAGGTGCGGGCGGGGGAGGGCCTCCAGCCTGTGCCCAGACTGGCCCCCTCCCCCCCACAGTCCCCCCACATCTCCCTCCTCCCCTACAGCCCCCTCCTCCTCCCACAACCCCTCCCCCCACGGCCCCTCTCCCCTCCCCTTCCCCACCGCTCTCCCCCTCCCTCAAGTGCACCTGGTGGGGGCACAGATCGGGTCAGAGTGCCCTGTGTGGGGTGACTGGACCACCCCCAGGCGGCTGTGATGTCAGAGGTGGGTGACCCTCCGGCGTGATCCTCGGCGATGCCCTGCCTCCCTGGCCCTTAGTCCCGCGAGGCTCTGGCTGGGCACGGGCCCAGCTGTCCGGGACAGGCGCTGGGTGGCCGGGAGGGGACAGATGGGGTGGGGTTCCCTCCCCAGACTGGGCCACTTCTATTTTTTAAAATATATATTTTATTGATTTTTTACAGAGAACAAGGGAGAGAAAGAGAGTTAGAAACATTGATGAAAGGGAAACATTGATCAGCTGCCTCCTGCATACTCCCCAATGGAGATGTGCCCGCAACCAAGGTACATGCCCTTGACTGGAATCGAACCTGTGACCCTTCAGTCCACAGGCTGACGCTCTATCCACTGAGCCACACGGGTCACGCTGGGCCACCTCTATTTACAAAGCTGAATTCATAGTCATAAACAGAGCGGGGATGGGAACGGAGGGGCTGGGCCTTCCCACACAGCCGTCCGAGGCCTGGGGTGGAGGAAGGCGCCTGCCCGCCGGGCCCCGGGGTCCTGTGGGGTGGCCTCTGAGGGCAGCACCCGTGCCGGAGCCAGTGGGGCAGGGCGGGCAGCTGCTTCTGCCCGGTCCGTGCGGGCCGGTTAGCTCAGTGGGGACAGGCGACCAGGCCCTGGAGCTGGTACCGCCGCCCTCCCAGGAGGACCAACCCGCCCTCCTGTTCTTGGGGGGCCAGAG